AAGTAGCTTATTTTCCAGGCGGCGCAAGACTGGCAGCGATGCATTGACATGTCTGCGACCCATGCTCCCAGACCACTCAAGAATTCTGGCATTGAGTTCAATCTTTATGGAGTAAGCTTATAAGTAAGTTGTCACGCTTGCTGGGAAGCACGGAAGCACCCGCCCCTCTCTAGTCTACTGCCCAGCAACCGGGCCAGCAGCGGCCAAGAATGCCTGTGCCTGGGCCTAGTTAGTGCAAGTTAATGCCCTATTACTTATTTGTTCTAAAACCGGAATTGGCCCACGCCCCTGGACAGCTGCTGCTCAGATCGGCGGCCCTGGCGGCGGAGGTGGGATCCAGCCAGAGCCACTGCTTGATCTGCCAGACGGGTTCGAAGTCGGCGGACGTTCTGAGATGGTTGGACAACCAAGGAAGCTTGGGACCCGGTTTCAAGCAAAGGGAATACTATGCGCCGAAAGGTTAAAGTGTAGAAACTGAAGTACCCAAGCCAAGCAGCGCTTTGGCGGTTTCAAGAATCCACCATAAGGATTCACATCTCCAGCTGGGTGATTCCGACGAAACATGTCGGACCACCACATCAAGATTTCGAAGCCACGGTTGCAGCGCATCGAGACCTCCTGGACAAGGTACCGGAAAACCGGTCCAAGACATTAAGCCTCAAGATAAGGATTCTGGAATAAAAAAAATTTTCCAAAGAAGCAATCCAAGTCCTTCAGCTCCGAAATCAGAAGCTGCATCTCCTTCCGGTTGCTGGCCTTCCCGAGGTGGTGTTGCGGTTGGGTAGGCAAACTCGGAAAGTCGAAGGGCTGTGCATCCAGCGCCGACCTCGGCGCGTTTCGGCGGTACCAGTCGAAAGCTGTCCGGTACTTGTACAGGAGATCGTGGCCCTCCTGGGTTCAAACTTTTCATTTCATGAATCGGCTTAAGCCCGAAGCCTGTTGTGGAACCACACGGGCTTACTTTTTTAAACAAAAAATGCAAGAGCTGGCAGCGAGAATCTGTGATCTCGCCGATGATGCTCGCCTGCAGACCAAGGTGAGACTGAGAGCGATCTTCATAGTCCACCCATTCCTTCGCCTAAGAAACGGAAAGAATCAACGCTGCACCACGGCAAGAATGATAATATTGATGTGTCATTAGCATCGAAAAGGAAAAAGTTGGGTTAACTTCAGAGGCTAGTGGCTTCTTGGGCTTCCTTCTTCCGCTTCAGCCTTGCCCGCTCCGTTTTGTTGGGCTTGTTCTTCGCCTTGGCCTTGGCCTTGGCCTTGGACTTATTCTCGACACAACGGGCAAATGGCTGGGCTAGTAATAAGAGCTTCAGCATTGACGGTTTGGGTCTATGACACTATGACCAAGAAAAAATGTTTTCAAACTTCTATTCGTGGAGCCTTTGCTGTGGCTCCAGCAGGCCCAATGCCAGTCTCAGCGCCAGCATCAGTGCCACCAGTTGGCAGGGTGCCAGGAGTTGAAGGTGGCAGGGTGTCAGGAGTTGGCAGCGCGCCAGGAGTTGGCGGCACCGTGCATGGCGAACATGGAGTCGGCGCGGCAGCAGTGCAGGCAGACATTGGTGTTGGCGCGGCAGCAGTGCAGGGGGACATTGGAGTCATAGGAGTCGGCGTTGCAGCAGTGCAGGGAGACATTGGAGTCATTGGAGTCGGCGTTGCAGCAGTGCAGGGAGACATGGGAACAGTAGGAGCCACTGCAGTCGGTGGCGGAGCACCACGCGTTCCAGGGGCCTGAGTCGGAGCTGCTGCAAGTATTAAAATTAGAGTCGAAAGGCCCTGACGCACTAACATAAGGCTAATGAAATCCAAGATGCCTCCGGCAGAGGTGCTGAGGAAGCACTGCCAGCTGCAGCAGATACAGGGGCGCCAGCGGTGCCATTGGTGTCAGTGTCACTGTCACTAGACGACGGGACCTTGGAAGCGCAAGCACGGCAGAGAACATACCATTATACCGACTATATTCTCGAAAACAACTTACAAATCAAAGCCTCCGGCAGTAGTTACCGTTGCCAGCAAAGAAAATTATGCGTGGCTTAGCCAAGAAGCTGATGCAGCCACCCTTTTAGCGAGAGGGGCGCCCTCAGGGGTTCGACATCATGTGGCCAGTACTGTACTTCTGAAAGTTTAAACGGATTGAAAATTTTATACCCAACTACCTTGTCCAGGCTCATCGGCCCCGGAATCTCCTCCGACTCAGTCGCGTCCTCGCCAGCAGCGTCACTCGCAGGAGACGGCGGTGGAGACATCGAGTCAGACTCAGATTCCGCCATGGCGCACCGAGCAAACAATAGGCTTACAGTTACGCAGGAGGTTGCAGGAGGTGACCTACATTTGGACGGATCTGGTCTGAGTGTGGTGAGATTCCAGGATGATAATAAGTGCTTCGTGGTCGTTGATGTTAACCGTTATTAGGGGAGGCGATAGCTGAGCTGGCCTGATGCAGCTTCAGCACCAAAGGCATGGAGGGTAGGATCGCGAGCAGGATCTCACGGTCTAAGGTCGGGAGTCAGGAGCCCGGAAGAACAAGCGCTGTGACAGCAATGCCTGTATTTTTTGAACCCTAGCAGTCATATATTCCTCTGAACAACTCATGCAATGATCCCAAATGCGACCTTAAACCAGCAACCTATATGTGATGAAGACCTCTAATTAAAACAATCCCAATAAAACCTGCACATTAAGCCGGACCCCGCTGGATCAGAAAGGTTTGCGCAAGCGGAGGTTGTTGCACACTTGACACTGTCACATGCAGCATTTGGGAGGCATGTCAGTTATGTCTCAGTGATGTCAAACGATTGATTGCTACGGACAACCCATGGCACCTCCACAGCGCAGCCCGGCTGTGCGGCGGCATCTGCCATCCCGAATCCTAAATGTGATGAGAAACCCAGTCAGATGTTGTCACATTGCAGTGCGCTAAAATCATCTTAGAAGACTTGCCTGGGGATAGGTTTAGACGAGATTGGCGTCTAGCTCACTAGTCACGCTGAATCTGCTGAGTACTGCAAGTTTGCGTCTGCATTGATGTCAGCTCGAACTAATTATTGTTCTTACTAAATACGTGTGCATAGTCTGGCATGAAAGCGGGCGAGGAGCTTCAGAACACTCGAATGAGAAAGAACCGGGATTAGGGGTTAGGGCTTTGGGGTGTTTAAGGTTTTGGGCTTAGAAGGTTTCGACTCTTGCACTCGTGCAGGCAGGGTCTAGGGTATAGAGGGTTTAGTGGGTTCGGAGGGTTCCGAATGCGTTTATAGGGTTTCGGCTTAGAGGGATTGGAAGGTTTAGAGGCTCTGGAGGGTTTGGAGGGTTTGGAGGATTTAGAGGGTTTATAGAGGGTTTAGAGGGTTTAGAGGGTTTGGAGGGTTTGGAGGGTTTGGAGGGTTGAAACGGTTTAGGGTTTAGAATGTAGAGAGTTTAGAGGGTAGAGAGTTTGGAGGGTAGTGATCTTGGGCTTTAAATTTGGGTCTAGGGTTTAAACAAACTTTCACAACTACAAATATTTATTATACAAAATCTATAGCTATATATTTTTCACAGCTAGACGCTCCAGACCGAAGTCCGGTGCGAGCGCAGCTTCTGCGGATGCCTTACCAACCCGGACACTCCAGAACGAATCCGGTGTGAGCACTGGGTCGGACAGGCTTCCGAAAACTATCCCAAGGCACTCGGGGTCCCGTCAGCTGGACGCCCCAGACCAACCAACGTCCGGGGCGAGCTCAGCCAACAGGACCCCAGCCAAGCCACTGCAAGCACTTGCAAACACTTCGAGGAAGTCGCCGAGGTCGGTCGCTCAGGGGGGTGCGGGGGGGAGGAGAGCTAAGGGTTATGGAGGTTTAAGGGCTTAAGGCTTAAGGGGCCAAGGGAGGAAAGAGAACCGAAACCCCTAAAGCCCGAAAGTCCCAAAACCCTACTATAACTATAACCCCTTCAGAGACTTAACTTTCCCCAACCCAGGACCCGGTCCTCAATCCAGTCAACCCCTAATCCCCAAAACCTCAACTCTGAACCATCTTAGACTTCAGGACTTCAGTTTTTTGGTCTAGGTCTTGCTTGAGATTTACTTATTAAGCCTGCATTTGGATTTTGCCACCACCGCGCCCCACCGCACCCTCCCAAAATCGTGGTCGTATATAGGTTTTGACATATAGGAAAAAAGTTTAAAGTGTGGCCTCTCAGCGGGTAAGCCTATTTGGGGCTCACCCCGAGCGAACCTCAGAACAGAGCTCGCCGGAACTGGAAGACCCTAAACCCTGATAAACCCAAACCCCCCCCCCCCCCCCAAAAAAAAAAAGACCCTGAAGAACCCAAACAAAGCCTAAAACCGCAAAAACCTTGACAAAACCTTAGCAAAAACAAAGCCCTAACAAACACCAAACAAACCCTAAAAAGCCCCCAAAGACCCGAACAAAACAAAAAAAAACACACACACACACAACCAAAAACCCAAGGACCCTTTTCAGTCTAAACCCCCAGACCCACAACCCGTTTAGCCCAAAATCTCGTAAACATCCAAGCCGGAAACTCTCGTTGCATCCTCCGTGCCTAAGAACCACACAACATTCTGGATGTTGAGCCCTACACCCAAAGACTTCTCGCTTCCGCACTCCTGCCGGTCGCCGAGCTGTAAACCCTGTACCTGAGCCTTAAGCTCCTAAACCGAAACTCAAAAATGAACTAAGACCCTAAAGACTCGCCCTAAACCTAAAACCTAAAATGAACTAAGACCCTAAAGACCCATCAAACCTTACACATAAACCCTAAAAAGAACGAAGACCCTAAGCTTAAACCTCAACCCGAAAAAGAAGTAAGACCCCAATTAAGCTTAAAACCTGAACCCTCAAACGAACTAAGTCCGTAAGCTTACAATCTAAACCTGAAAAAGAAGTAAGACCCTAAGCTTAAGAACCCTCAATGAGTCCGTAAGCTTAAAATCTAAAGCCTTCAAAAAGAAGTAAGAGCCTAAGCTTTTAAGCACAGGAACACCGAACCCCGTCCTGGCCGCTAGAAGTTCCTGAATTGGCGGTCTGGACCTGAGCGGAGGAATCCGGGATACCCTGAAAAGCTAGGGTTTAGGGTTTAGGGTTTAGGGTTTAGGGTTTAGGGTTTAGGGTTTGGGGTTTAGGGCTTAGGGTTGAACCCCTAAACCCTAAACCCTAACTCCTGCTGTCCTCCACATTGAGAACCACATCTGGATTGGACCTTGCATCCCCTCTTACCAAAGCTTCCTATACTGAATAGCACCCCTTGAAACCCAATAAGTCAAGATGTATGGTCAGTTCCTAGATTGTGGTCCCTTTTTGGGTACCCCAAATAATCGGGCCGCCGGATAAGAAGGAACCCAAACAAAAGGGCAACATATTTTGGAGAAGTGACCACATAACACCCCGGGGCCAACCTAGATAGTGACGTACTTAACCTTTCTTTGAACTCTTGCGAGTGCAACAAAGCCAATGCTTAAAGCAAACGACACCTCAGAAGGACCGTGCTCATCAAAAAGCTAAGCAAACAGCAAGCCTCCCTAAACCCTAAACCCAAAACCCAAAACCCTAAACCCCTTGGATGCAAGACATAGCCAAGGAGCATCCCGTGTAGAGGTGTGGCTGACAGGATCCTGCATCGCGCGATTCTAGTGTGATAGCTGAAGTAGTAGGTTCCCATATTGTAGTATAGTACGAGATATTAGCATTTGTTTACTCAAATATTCTTGTAGCATGGGATATTAAGGCTTTCTTTTGCCACTCGCCTGGGGCTTAGATCGGGTTTCGTAGCAGATCGTGCTTGTCCAAGGTGCCACAGCAAAAAAAGACGAGGAAGATGGGGCACATGAGAAAAATGCATAAGATGCGTAAGATGAAGCTTGATAAAGCGGCGTCGATCCGAGGCATGAAGACTGCTTTCCTAACCGCCCATACTCCGAAACATGGCTCCAGAATCGCGAATGGGTTCAGGTGTGCGAGGTGCATGGCCGAGTTGTGGCAGAGATACGTCACTGCATGAACAAGGGATACGGCATTTGAGAGGTAACCCTTCATCGGTTCCACATCTTAGGGCCATTAGATGCAGCAGCGAGCGGCTGGCGCAAATTGATAGGGTGTAAGTTCGTAGGGGCCCGAAGAAGGGCCCCGAACGCCGTAGGCTGCCTCATCTTTCCCTCGGTTCCTCCACCAATAAGCAGAATCATAATCATCATACTCCTAGTCACAAGAATCGCCATGGACAGACCGCAGATAACCGCCCACACCAAGGCCTTCAAATCCAAGTCGTACAGCTCGGCTTGTCCACCGCAGGTGATGGGCCAGCAGAACCTCTCACGCCCCAAGGCCCTAAACCCCAAGCCCTAAACCTCTAAAGGTACTGCTTTTCTTGGGGGAGATACTGTACCGCCCCCAAGTTAAACCCCAGAAGCCCTGGAAGCCAGAACCCTAAACCCTAAACCCTAAACCCTAAACCCTAAACCCTAAACCCTAAACCCTAAACCCTAAACCCTAAACCCTAAGCTTCAGGAGCTGGGGAGTTTGGAGGAGATCGACTTTCGACCCTCACAGCATGCACACTTTCCCTGAGTATGATATAGGGACTACTACTACTACTACTGCTACTACTACTACTACTACTACTACTACTACTACTACTACTACTACTACTACTACTACTACTACTACTACTACTACTACTACTACTACTACTACTACTACTACTACTACTACTACTTGCTTAAGAACCCCAAAAAGATATTCTTCCTTATTAAGGGTAATAAAGGGATTGTTGTTTTTTTCTTTTGGGGTTCTTAAGCAAATAGTAGACGATGAGGGGATACTATTCCGACCCCCATTTACTAGGTAGGTCCTGAGAATAAACCTCTTCGGATCTCGCAGGGGAGGAAGGAGGGAGGGAGAGAGGAAGGAAGGGATGTGGCATAACTTTTGGGGAGGGGGGGAGGGGGAGGGGGGGGGAGGGGGGGGGGAGGGGGGGGGGGGGAGGGGGAGGGGGAGGGGGGGAGGGGGGGGGGAGGGGGGGGGGGGGGGGGGAGGGGGGGGATTCGGCAGTTTTGGTCATAGGCAGCCTCCTTCCCTGAATGCCTGAACCCTCAACCCTTCAACCCTTTTTGCACCTCATAGGGTTTAGGGTTTAGGGTTTAGGGCTTAGAGGTTTAGGGTTTAGGGTTTAGGGTTTAAACCCCTGAAGCCCATCACCTCAGGTCGGGCCACCCATCCCTCTTGTACTCCTCTGAGAGCACCAAGTTGATCCTTGGGAACATCCGCTGTGGACTGAGGACTTCGAGACGTGCGTAAGCCATCGTGAACCAATAGAGGCTTCAAGCAGCGCTCCGCGCTCCCTACAGGGTTTAGGGTTTAGGGTTTAGGGCTGTTTTGGGGTTTGAGTTGTAACTTACAATCGAGTTCTGCAAGTATGGTCTCGGTTGAGGTTGGCGGGGACACTTGTTGAACCCTTGCAGGTCGTATTCCCAACGACCTCAAAGCTACAGCCATCACTGGCCTGGAGTGGCACAAATGGAGCATGGAAACGACTAGGTTCCCTCACCAATGGCAACTGTAAAGCCTAAACCCTCCACCTATCTGTTCAGCTCGGTACACCATACTCCGGGCTCTGGGGTTTCAATTACAAGGGGGGCCTCTTGTATCAATCAGTAGCCAAGAAAAAGCCGAAACCATAGCAACGAAAGAAGGATCACCACAATTTCGCGAGCCCCTAAACCCTGTAAACCCTGCAAACCCTGTAAACCCTGTAAACCCTGTGAACCCTAAACCCTGAACCCTGAATAGGGACTGCTTCTTGCAGGCAGACCTCTCAGCACCCCCAGTGCCCAAGGACAGCCGCAGTGTGGTCGGCTGCTGCGGCGCAAAATAGCTTTCGTGATTGGAATTGTCCTGAGCCGCAGTTTAGGGTTTGGGGTTTAGGGTTTAGGGTTTAGGTTTGTTTGTGCCACCTGCGTAGCTGAATGGTAACATCCACCTCGCAGGGATTTGGCAGCCTCTGAGGGGAATACCCTACGGTCAGTTTATTAGGGTTAGGGTTTCGGGCTTGAGTTTTAAGCCACTGCACCACAAAGATGGCCATAGCCGCCAAACTCCTGCCAACCCCTGACCCACGAGCTTGCGCGCATGACTTCTCGATGGGTAGTTGCATGGTCTTGGTAGTTCCACAATTTTGGCCCACCCGTTTTGTGGCATAGCCCAGGCTATTATCCTCGCATCTAGTGGCAGGAACAGAACAGACCGTGAGCAGCTGCAGTAACTAAGCCCCACAGTGCCCTACGCACACACCTTGTATGCCCTATAAGCTGGGATGCTCCCCCTTATACTAATAGTCCTTAATCGGGAATATGATAGGGGGTACTATAATCCTTATTATAAGGGGGAACATCCCAACCTAGAAGTCCTCTGAGGACCCTAAACCCTAAACCCTAAACCCTAAACCCTAAACCCTAAACCCTAAACCCTAAACCCTAAACCCTAAACCCAGCCCCAAGCCCCAAAACCCCCGTTCTCAGCCAGCCGGCAATGAGCTCTGCTATGAGCAAGACGGGAACACCAATGTCGATCCTCGGACTTGAGCACCCAGCTTTCAACTGGCTTAGGGTCTCCTTCTTCTATTTTTGATTGTTTTGGGGATCTCTGTTATTCTTACTGATATTTCTATGGTTTTTCGTTATGGTAGGGTAGCCTCCCGCCCGGTTTTTCTGACGTTTCACTTCTATTTTGCACGGTCTGCCAGGCCAAAAAAAACCCTCAAAAAGGTGCGCAGGTGCTTCTCACCCGTGGTCCCTCCACGGTTTAGGGTTTAGGGTTTAGGGCGAACTCACATGTCATGCTTCCTTGCACACCGGCAGCAGCAGCCGGAGGAAAAAACGAAAAAACACGCAAAAGCTTCGATTCAAGCAATTGGGTAAGCAGAAGATCTTCTTTGCTCCTCTCCTTAATAGTGTACGGATTGTCTCCCCTCAGGTCACCACGCGGGGTAACTCCATAATTTGCACCTGCTGATTTGGACTCGGCGATGGCTTGATTGCAGCCCGGGAGTTGAGCACGGTAGTGGCGCTGCTGCTTCAGGGCAAATGCATCTGCCAACATTCCAGCTCCATCTCCGTTTAGGGTTTAGGGTTTAGGGTAATTGGGCCACTAGGTGTCCAGGTCACCTGCAAAAAAAAACAACCCCTTTCTTTCCCAAAGCCGCACACCAGGCACTCCGAGTCTTACTGGGGAATTTGGGGAAGTAGAGCACTGACTGGTCCCTCAACGGAACCTAGGTTCGAATTGCCTGGATCCCTAAACCCTAAACCTAAACCCCAAACCCCAAACCCCAAACCCTAAACCCTAAACCCTAAACCCTAAACCCTAAACCCTAAACCCTACCAAGCCCTGCTGAAAACCCTCAAAAACCGAGTCCAGGCTGGGTCAAGTCGCGGCTGATCCACCTGAGCCAGAATCTCTACTCCGGTGCCTTCGACGACTTGTGTAACCTGCGCTGCTTTGGGGCTTAGGGTTTTCGCCACTGCCCAAACCCTTCGCTGTACCTCCTTTTTGGAAGGGGAGGAGGGTTTAGGGTTTAGGGTTTAGGGTTTAGGGTTTACGGTTTAGGGCTTAGGGCTTAGGGCGTAGGGCTTCGGGTCTCGCACTCACGCAAGGCAGACAAGGATTCGGGCGGTCTGGTCCATCTGCACCGCACCGACAGAAACTCCAAACTGGCTTGCAAAAACCACTCAATGGCCTCCCACCTCCCAGGGCTTTGGGGTTTATAGGGATAAGGGCCTAAACCGTTGCCTAAACCCTAAACCCTAAACCCTAAACCCTAAACCCTAAACCCTAAACCCTAAACCCTAAACCCTGATTTCGGGTGCAGAGGCTATTGGGTGCATACATGGGGTTGAAGCATGAAATTAAGAGCCCTGGCGGCCACTACCTCAGCCAGAGGCTTAAAAACTCGTAGGGTCTGCACGCTCTGCATGGTGAGTTCCCGAGGTTCCTGTTTCGATACCCGAAGTACTCCCCAAAGGATCCATGTACCTATATAGTATATACTTGGGCCTTAAAGGGGTTCCTATGTAGTAGCTTTAGGGCCCAAAGTATATACCACAAAGGTACATGGATCCTTTCGGCTCTTTCCCGCCAAAGAGAAAGTAACTCCGAATGAGACCAGATTTCGGAGAAGTGACCAGGTCCCCTTGCAAGCAGCACGTTTTGACAGGAGGCTCCCCTTTGGGGTTTAGGGTTTAGGGTTTAGGGTTTAGGGTTTAGTATCAAGCAGGCCCGCAGGTCCTTGCTCTAGGGCTGGGTATCTGGAGTGCTGCGCCACTGGCCCTTGCACGTTGACACAACCGAGCCCCGTTCCCTTCGAGTCCGTAGCCACCCCACCATTACAAAGTTACTGAGGCAGCCCAAGGAGCGCAAAGCCCCTTTGGGGATGTCAGCGCAAATATCACCACGGGCGGCCTGTTTGCCTTACAAGCTTTCGGGCTTCGGGTTTGAGGTCTAGGGTTCGCCTTAGAAATAATTCTTTGCTGTTGTTGCAGAGATGATAAAAACTGTCAAGCGTGATTCTTGTGAGTAGCCCACAACAAGTGCAAACATAACCCTAAACCCCATCAACCCTGAACCCTAAACCCTAAGAAACACATGTTCGGGTTATGGAGCGGAGCGTTTGGATCCACGAAGGGGAAGCCAAACAAAGAAGCCTCCGGGCAGCGGCGCCGCAAGCCCGCAAGATTGCAAGACTCACAACGCAGCGTTTAGTTTAGGATTTAGGGTTTAAGGTTTGGGGTTTAAGGGTTGGGGTTTCTGGTTTAGGGTTTAGTATGGGATTCACCGACCAATTAAGGGGTGGTAGTTAGAACTAAACTGTGGGTGAAGAAAGGTAAGGCTTAGGATTCATGACATTGGGCTGATTTTTTGCCATTTGCTTAAGAACCTCCAAACACATACAAGCTTCTTCCTTCAATATAGGGAGTACCATTCTTTCTTTCGTGGGTAATTAGTTCTTCAGCAAAATAGTAGACCATTTGGCTGCCCTTCGCAGAAAAGAATCCCCAAGTAAGGCATCTAGGTCTGAAACAAGAACCCTAAGTAAGCCATCTACATCTGAAACAAGAAAGAAAGCCTAAACCCTTTTTGCGCTAAACCCTAAACCCTAAACCCTAAACCCTAAACCCTAAACCAAAAAGCCCAAACAAGCATCTAAAGGTCCGACGCCGAGCTACGCCACCGTAGTCACTCGCCTGTGGCAAGAGGCCAAAGCAGTAGCCAGCTTCGGCGGCCTCCGCCAAGATGGGGTTTTGGTTTAGGGCTTAGGGCTTAGGGCTTAGGGCTTAGGGCTTGGGGTTTAGGGTTTAGGGTTTAGGGCTTAGGGTTTAGGGTTTAGGGTTTAGGGTTTAGGGTTTAAGGTTTAGGGTTGAGGGTTTATTTAGGGTTTAGGGTTTAGGGTTTCGGGTTTAGGGTTTACGGTTTAGGGTGGAGGAACTTTTGATTTGAGAGCTTCAAGCCTCCTTAGGTTGAAATGTCACTTTCAGCGGCCGAGGCGCTAGGTGCAGCGGCCTGTGACTTGCAAACCGAGCTACCCCGTTTAGGGTTTAGGGTTTAGGGTTTAGGGTTTAGGGTTTAGCCCACAACTTCTCGCGCTCGACTCAGTTTAGGGCTTAGGGCTTAGGGCTTAGGGCTTAGGGCTTAGGGCTTAGGGCTTAGGGCTTAGGGCTTAGGGCTTAGGGCTTAGGGCTTAGGGCTCAGGGCTTAGGGTTCAGCGTTCAGGGTTGAGGGTTTAATTACCTGGGACTCTCTTTGTAAAGGGGCAGTTACCACGAAACTGTAGCCAAATAGAGTCCCAGGGCCACACCCTGCCACGACAAACATCCAAAGCCCGAATCGAAGCAGAAAGTTCGAACCCTAAACCCTAAACCCTAAACCCGAAACCCTAAACCCTAACCCGAAACCGTGCGCGGCTGCACTGACGTTTCCTCATACTTGAGGGCACCAAGGAGATCGCAAGTTGGATAAACCTTGCCACGTTACGACATGCACACCTGTTGCGAGGTATACACGACTGAACCAGCAAGAGCCTAAATCCGTTGATTAACAGATTAAACCCCACACAAGTTTGTCGAAATCCACTAGGCTGGCCGTTTAAACCCCTTGGAAAAGATTCCTAATTCTCATCCTCCTAAACACAAGAAGGGAAGGCATGACATGTCCCAAGGGCCTGAGGCCTAAGGCCGAAACCCGAAACCCTAAACCCTACCTGGAACTCTGTTACCTACAGTTTAGCAGTAGCTACCCCTCAATTGGCAGGTATACCCCAAAAAAGCTGTAGGTAAGAGAGTCCCAGGTATACCCTAAACCCTAAACCCTAAACCCTAAACACTAGACCCTAAACCTTAAACCCTAAACCCTAAACCCTAAACCCTAAGCCCTACCTACGCACTTTAGGCAAGGCACATCTTCGCAGAGCTGCATCGCCACCTCGCGGGCTGGCCCTTATTCAGCCCTTTAGGGTTTAGGGTTTAGGGTTTAGGGTTTAGGGTTTAGGGTTTAGGGTTTAGGGTTTAGGGTTTAGGGTTTAGGGTTTAGGGTTTAGGGCTCAGGGTTTAGGGCTTAGGGTCTGGGGTTCCCTTGGCTGTAGGGAGAGGTACGGTCTTTGCTAGGGAATGAGGGAATTAGGCACAGTATATCCCCCGTATACACCAGAACACCGGTTCATAGAGGTTGGAGATAGAGAACTCATGAGAAGAGAAACCTCTGAGTCGGGGGCAGCTGGGGAAAGCCTTAAGCGTCGTTATCCCTAACGAGCCTGAAGGGTTTAGGGTTTAGGGTTTAGGGTTTAGGGTAAACGACCCTCTTTTACCTACAGTTTGATGGGTCATACTTGCTAATTAAAGGGCAGTTGCTCCTAAACTCTAGCCAAACCGAGTCCCAGTTAGGGTTTAGGGTTTAGGTTCAGAGTGTTGTTATTTGAGCCACCCGCCTGGCTAAACGGACGACTAAAACTTAGGGTTTAGGCTTTAGTCGCTCACACTCGGACTCGCCAGGCGAGGTTTAGGCTTGGCTGACTTCTGAACCCCTCCTAAAGCTTAAACTTTTGGGCTCTTATTGCAGCTGCTTCAAAATCCCCAACGGTGGAAGTCCTAAGAGCCAGGTTGAAGTCCTAGGAGTAGGGTTTAGAGTTTAGAGTGCTCTCTGGGATGCTAACTGGACTTCTATCTGCACATTAGGGTTTAGGGTTTAGGGTGAATATCGACATGCGCTCGGGCAACTTCAAGACATGATGTTTTACAAAGCACCGGGGCTTAGGTTGGCAGTTGCTAACGCTTCAAAACTCAAGGGGGGTAGTGGGCTAGTAGCGTCCTCAGCCGCCCCTGAACCCCCAACCTTAACCTCAAAGCTAAACCCCCAAACCCAACTCAACCGCCCCCCCTCCAAAAAAACTTACCGCGAAAGATGCTTCAAGTTCCACCGCTGCAGCTGCGCAAACCTCCAGCTACCGACTCCTTTCCAAGTCTACACCCTAAACCCCAAACCCTAAACCCTACACCCTAAAACACCTGGCCCACGCACCCCAAACCGTGTCATCCTTTCGAGACCAGTTCTGACTAGAACACAGAAGAAGCAACCATTTGGCAATAGCCACAGTCTGTGAGCACAGGTGTTCAAAAAGACGGCGCTCGCTTCCTAACTAAGACAAAAGAACAAGGTTATCCCCTTATAGTCCCTGCATACGTATATAATATTATCTACAATAACCTGAGCCACCCCAAACACATCTTAAATTCAACAGGCCCTACAGTGGCTACTCGCGGTGCACCCTGCCTCGAGGCGCACGGAAAGAGCAATCCGCTGCGCGTCCCGAAGGCGAAGGCCACGTCGCTCCTAGAGGGCGGCGCAATTCCCCAGGTTGCCATTCAACACCCGTGTTGCAACACCCTAAGCCCTAAACCCTAAACCCTAAATTAAACCCTAAACCCTAAACCCTAAACCTCAAGCTCTCGACTCAAAGGCCTGCACCCCTTGATCCTGAACTCCAAATCCTACACCGGACCTCTCCGCGTAATTAAGCCGGAGGGGCTGGGCAGGAAGTGGCCAGAAGGCGAGCTGCCTGGCGGCCGGCTGACTCAACCGCAACTCCGTGATAGTTTGAGATGCTCCCCACATATACTATAACAGCCCTTAATAGGCATTCTAGTACCCCACACCCCCCCCCCCCCTATTAGAATCCCTGTTAAGGACTGTTGGTATAAGGGGGAACATGCCCGAAGTCAGAGTGTTCAAATTGCAAAACCACAAAAAACCGAACCCTGGCCTTCAACTCATGGGTTCCCCCCTACTAGACCCGGTTTGGGGTTTAGGGTTTAGGGTTTAGGGTTTAGGGTTTAGGGACCCCTCTATACTAAGGTTCCCCCCATTATCAAGGCTATTTAGAGAGAATTAAGCCTATTAGGGCTTCTTTAAGGGGGACCTAGCGGGGGGGTAGTATAGAGGGGGGTAGTAGGGGAACCCATGATCAACAGCAGAAGGGTTCACCTGGCAGCTCCTGCGCACTTGTACATGCACGTGTACAGGTGCTGACGCACTTCTTCTGCGTGTATATTCCATGACTGTCGACCGGCCATGCGGGGCCGCCATTCTACAGCTTCTGACTGGTTCTTAGTAGGGAATGCAGGAAAGAGGGCCCAAACTAACTAGCATTAAACGCCACAACTCCGGGCCTCCGCCTGCACACGCGTGGACAGAACCTGGCCACAGCTGTGCCGAGCAGAGTACCCAGTACCCTTGTGCACCGACTCATCGTACCACCCGATGCGCCCTTCTCTGAACTGATGTGCTGGAGCGCCTTGCGATCGATGCAGGAGTCCACCTCCCCAGCATCAAAGCCTCCGGCAGTGGAGGGTTTAGGGTTTAGGGTTTAGGGTTTAGGGTTTAGGGTTTAGGGTTTAGGGTTTAGGGTTTAGGGTTTAGGGGGCCACGCTACTCCCTTCTTGCATCCGTGGGGAGACCGAGGCGCGATGCTACGCCCTAAATCCTCAGACTACTGGCACACCACTCTCCTGAAGAAACCGAGCAGGGCTTGCTTTAGGGTTTAGGGTTTAGGGTTGCTTAAGCCTTGTATGACTTCTAGGAATGCTCAACGCTGCATCAGAGTGTCCGGCGGTAGTAGAAACATGCTCTGCCTCAAGCATGCCGGGCAAGCCGAGGACTTGGTGACAACGTAAACCCGATGACAAAACCGACACCTGCAGACCTCTAGCAGCCAAACGTCCCTAAAACCTAAACCCTAAACCCTAAACCCTAAGCACCGCATATCCCACGCTTCTAAGTTATGCTCAACACAACAGGTGCTGGTCTCTGTGCGCTCGATCGCAGCCTGTCTCTGCTCTTCCTGAAGAGTTAGTTGATTAGTTCAAAGGAACACTAAACCCAAACCCTAAACCCTAAACCTTAAACTCTAACCTAAACCCTAAACCCCAACTTAAGCTGTTCCCAAGTAAACCTCGTGTCCACAGGAATCAAGGCTTTGGGACGTTTCTAGGCCTACTTCGGTATACTTAGAACTGATTCGGGGTCCTGTCTGTTTGCAGGTCATGTGGCGCTGAAATGCGCTGAACTCATGGATCGAGCTCAGAAACCCTAAACCTCAAACCCTAAACCCCAAACCCTAAACCCTAAACCCCAAACCCCAAACACTGACCTGGAACCCCGTCGTTCCCCCATCCCCCTTCCCACGTCCCAAGCACCTAGGAGCGACGCGATGCTCCCCTCCTTAGACGAGGGTTGTTGAGGTAGGGTTTAGGGTTTAGGGTCTAGGGTTGAGGCATTGTAACTGCCTCAATCTCAGGCAGGACAGCATCACAGAAGCACGTGCTGAAGCCAGCATGATCCACCTCCGTACTGCTAAAGGCCGCAGTGCTGGAACGATGGCCGGCCCCTCCTATCACCGCAACACATTGAACCGAGAGCAAGTGCACGCTCACTCCCCTGCTCCCAGCTAAAACACTCCACTTCTAGGAACATCCCGATGGTCAGTGACAGTGGCGTGAGATACGCTTTGGTATATCTTGGTGCTGTTCATCCGTACTGTCTGTGTGGGAAAAAGAGACAAGTTGCAAGAATGAAACAGTGGCCTGTACAAGTCACCGCAAGGCACCTATCACCTCTCCATGTAGAGCAAATACATCGTATTGCACTCTTTACGCAAGAGGACCCCTCGTCCTTGGTAGCCCAGTACCCATATTTTGATAAGGGCACCCTTTTTTTGGGGTTGGTTACTTTAAAGGGGAGACCATATAACAAAAAAAGGGTAATAGGGTAACACTGGGCTACCAGGTGTCCTAGGTGTGACGAAGAACTCTGCAGCATCTTCTAGCTTGTGCTCGAAAATACCTGGGGTCAAATCCAGGATCTTAAGAAGCCCTAAACCCCAAACTCCTCAACCCCCCCGAACCCTGAACCCTAAACCCTATAAACCCTAACCCTAAACCCTGAACCCTAAACATCCCTAAACCCTAACCCTAAACCCTAAACCCTGAACCCTGAACCCTAGACCCCCAAAAGCGCAGCATGGGCTCCCCCTGCAAGGGTGGCAGGTTGCAGCGCAGCGCTTGGACGAGGAAGTAGACCTTGGGAGGGAACGCTGGGGGAGGAGAGGGGGGGGGGGGGGGGGGGGTAAGGATTTAGGGTTTAGGGTTTAGGGTTTAGGGTTTAGGGTTTAGGGTTTAGGGTTTAGGGTTCTCGTGAAGCCACAGCTGCTTGAATTCAGAAACGACTTGTCGTCACACCCTTCGATTCAGGGATTGCAAAGATCTTTGCAGGTATTGTCGCGAGTCCTCAGCGCTGCCAGACACCTTGCGTACAAGGAGGGGCCCCCTTACTATACTAATTGTAGTTAAGGGGCTTATAGCCCAACTTAGGATCCTTAGAACCCAACTTAGGGCCCTTATAACTCTACTTATAACTAGGGGGGAGGGGGGGCCCCTCCTTGTAGGGCTATTCTGTGCTGTCAAAGGCACGGATTTGCGAGTCACGTGGATGTCGCGTTGAGTGTTATGGTCACCAGCAATCATCCTTGGATCGCCGGCACCACTGTGTGCGTTGAAGGTTCCCTAAACCCTAAACCCTAAACCCTAAGCTGGCCGCGAGCTCTCTCCCGAGCAAGTGCAGCTTAGTGCAGGCAGTGCGTCTCAAGCTCCTTGTCGCCGGTGTAGGCCTGTTGGCTAGGGTTTGGGGTTTGGGGTTTGGGGTTTGGGGCTTAGGGCTTAGGGTTTAGGGTTTGGGGTTTGGGGTTTGGGGTTTGGGGTTTGGGGTTTGGGGTTTAGGGTTGGATGATGTGCGAGCAACAACATGCGAAACGACGGTTGGGATGCCACATATCAGCAGCAACAGAATACTGGCCATCTGACTGGCCCATGCTAGCCTTGTGCCCCCCATCCTCCTAAGAGCGTAGACATCATCAGCTACTATTTGCTTAAGAACCCCAAAAGAATGAAAAATAACTTATCCCGGTCCCTATATTACCCTTTAGAAGGAAGAATCTGTTTTTTGTTTTTTTTCGGGGTTCTTAAGCGATTAGTAGTCAGGCAAGTGCAAATTGCATGTTCCCGTGCCAGAAGCCGCTCTTGTCTAGCTTAGGGTAGCTGCTGTCGAAAGCCGCTCCTGTCTAGCTTAGGGTAGGGTTTAGGGTTTAGGGTTCAGGGGTTCAGGGGGAGCCCCCTTCAATCTGGAACTCTGCAACCCCCCAAGGGCAGGTGAAGGTGTGGTCGCTAAACCATTCGTGTACCCAGAGTTGCACGGCAAGCGGTGACGTCCGAATACTAGAATGTACAGACTATTGACGATTAGTGACTAGCCACCCACCCCCCCCCCAAAAAAAAAGTATATACTAAAAAGTATATAATAATAATCATAGTAATAATAGCAGTTTTACTAATAATAATAATAAGCAAAATATAAGTAACCATAATCACAATAATCATAATCATATTCGCAGTAGTAAAAATCATAAAAATAACAATCAGAATAGTGCTGCCTAATAATAGTCATAATAGTAATCATCATCATCATCATCAAAATAATCAGAGAAAGAATAAAAGTTAATTAATGACTTTGGCCTTTGACAGGACCCAAAAAGTCTATAAGTCTAAAAGCTTCCCTGTGCATCAGCGCCCGGGAAGCCTCGTGAAGCTTCTGCGAGTGGTGTGGTGGTATGAAATCCTGGGAAGCACCGGGCTGGACCGAGGGTTTAGCAACTGTCCAATACCCCCCCAAACACCTTAATATAGCCCCTAGATACCCTAATAACAAAGAGTCCCGACTTAAAGAGACCACCGCCAGGCAATATAGTATGAGTCCCTTAACTATAGTTTTCAATGGTAGGGGGGCCCATCCTTGTAAATTCTGGAAGCGCGCATGTAGATTGCGCCGAGTCACGCAAGAAAATTGGATGTATAGCTCAAATGGAAAGGGATTCTGGGAGGGTGGGGTGATACCAATTACACAGCAAAAGCGGCCTTGCGAATCACCGGCCCAGGCCAATCGTAAACCCTAACCCCTAAACCTAAACCCCAAACCCTAAACCCCTATGGTGCGGGCCAAGATGCGTCGTCCACGCCGTGCAGAAACAACGCTGGGATGAACGAATTGCCCACATGCTCTATCGGCGACAGCTCCTGAGCACCCCACACCCTAAACCCTAAACCCTAAACCCTAAACCCTAAACCCTAAACCCTACCCTAAACCCTAAACCCTAAACCCCATGACCAAAGTCTAAGGGATGCTACAAGGCCCCTTAAGCTGGTCCCGTACTCAGGGACCATGTCATCAAATGTGGCTACCTGGGACTCTCTTTGCCTACTAATTATTTTCCTGAAACCCTAAACCCTAAACCCTAAACCCTAAACCCTAATGACTACTAAACTGTAGGTACGTCGAGTCCCAGGTAGAGTGCAGGCGAGGAGCGTCGATGTCGAAGCTACAAAGAAGCCTTGGGCTGACAAGGGTTTAGGGTTTAGGGTTTAGGGTTTACGGCTTAGGGTTTAGGGTTTCATGAAAAGTCACGAGTTAAAGGCAGCTCTGGTGTCGAAGCTTTGAGTCTCACCACTCTGACTTCAATCCAGGGTGCTTTATCCGTAGCCGTCCCAGTGCCAAAGCACCCGAGAGCAACCAGCTCGGGACTTTGACGGAAAGGTACTCCTTGGCCAGTTTTAGAGGTTTAGGGTTTCAACCCTAAACCCCTGAACCCCTAAACCCGAAACCCCAAGCCCCTACACCCTAAACCTTAAACCCCTAAACCCTAAACCCCTACACCCCTTGCCAGTGATGGTGAGCAACAAGTGCTTGTGAAACGCAACACATTTCAAGCCACGTCACGCTCTGCGCGAGCTCTCCAGCAAGTTGTCGAAGGTTGCAGAAAGGGCTGTCGAGCACCTCGGCTCGCAAACCCTAAACCCTAAACCCTAAACTTCGGGGCAACGAAGGCCCAAGATTCCAAGATGAAGCCATGGTCGACTGCTGAGTTTTTGTCCTTGCCTTGCACTCTGTTTTTGGGGGAGGGGGAGTTGTCGTTTAGGGTTTAGGGTTTAGGGATTAGGGTGTAGTGAGACAGAATCATGAGAAAAACCTACCCAAGCTTTGCATGGTGCTGGCAGCTGTGAGATGATCACCCCAGCTTCCTGCGGAACTAGACGCATAAGATACGGGGCTTTTAATAATTAGAATAGGGTTTTGGGTTTTCAGAGTTCAGGGTTTAGGGTTTAGGGATATTCTAGTACATTTATAAAGGGACCATAAGGAAGTATCATTGGTAGTTATTCCGACCCTCTTTGTTTACGGCAGGAAGCTACGCCGCAAGCCTCTAGATGGAACTTCGAGCACGGCTCAAGCGACCAACCTCGAAACCAACCTATGGGCAGGTTTAAGTTGGCGATGGCCACCGCAGACATTGGCTACTACCCTTTTTTGGAACCCAGGCTGACCTGTGACTTGCTGGGAAGGGGCGCATTTCACCCTAAACTTATAAACCTGATTCAAAACCCTAAGCTCTCGGCTCAGGTCTCAGGGGTGGCAAGCGCTGCTACAACCTGTATGCAACTTGTGGCACAGACGGCAGAGACCGCCAGTCAAAACAGGCTCGGCACAAAGGGAGCCGCAGGTTCACACGAAGACTTGGGGATTTTCTACCTGTTTAAGAACCAGACAGAGAAATAAATCATAATATTACCCAGAGGGACCCTTCCAAGGACGAATAGATTAATCTTCTTGGGGTTCTTAGGCAAACAGCAGAGATTGGGGCTGTGTTGGCCCTGAACTTTGCAGAACTGCTTCGAGTTGCCTAGTTAGCTACAGTAAGCACAGCAGGATAGCAATGTCAGACAACTTTCGGTGCGAGAGCCCAGTCATTACCCTTAACAAGCCATGGGCCTGAAAGTTCTCCAGAACCTTTTCTGACGAACCGTACTCCACAGTGTATTATTCCTTGGCTACGGGATGTTGCTTATGCTGCCATTTCCCGCAGATGCGTCTCCGCGCTTCCTGCTAACTTCCCTGGGCCGGGGTGGGAACGTGTCTACTTCGTGCTTTCCTTTTAAGGGGTAGAAGGAGGGACCCTAGAAAGGGATCCTTAATCTGATTCCCCTTTTTAACCCGTATATATTATACCTTGTATAGTCCCTACATACCTAAGTCCTAAGTAGCCCCTAATAACCCCCAACCCCAGGGTCCCTCCTTTAGTCCTTGTTTGACAGGGCGCGATAACACAGGTATTGGGTTCTTCGGGTTGCCACGGATCTGTCATCCCACAAACCGAAACTCCAACCCCCGCCCCAGAAAACACCCCACAACTAAGGAATATGCCAGAATATGCCATAGTTCATACTCGGCCCCTGTGGCAAATTTGAGGCATACAACCCTACTAGACCCTTAAAAAAACCGCAAAAAAAACCTAAACCCTAAACCCCAATCCCTAAACCCTAAACCCCAGACCCTAAACCCCAAATCCTAAACCCTAAACCCCAAATCCTAATCCTGGTCGGGATGCCATGCCAGCTATGGAGTGATCCCGGTCCGCATGGAGCAGAGCTGTGACCGCCCCCATGGAGCGCCCCCACCTGGGGGTTTCGACTCTCACACTGGCGCAAGCGGGCGAGGCTTAGGGTTTAGGGTTTAGGGTTTAGGGTTTAGGGTTTAGGGTTTAGGGTTTAGGGATTAGGGTGACCTTAAGAACCTAAAAAACTGTTCGTTGTAGGTTACCTAAGCACCTTAAGGGGATATTGTTACAATAACCTGTGGAAATGTAGGTTTGGGGTTGTTACGGTAGGGTTTGAACTATAGTAAGCCACAAACCACAACTAGTGTGTACCCACGACTCAGGAACAATCTCCTAGAAACATGAAGCCCTAAAACTGCGGCAACACCCCTGAACACTTACACCCCAAACCCCTGAACCCAAAAAAGCCGTAACTAAAAACCCCAAAACTCCCAAACCCTATGCAAAGTTCAGGGTTTGTGGGTTTCAGGTGTAGGTTTAGGGTTTAGGGGTTACCTGTGACTCTGTTTACCTACAGTTTAGTAGCAGCGCTACCCCGTAATTCGTAGGTATAACCCATAAAACTGTAGCTAAAGAGAGTCCCAGGTCAGGTACTAAATCAGAACAGAACTATACCCTAAACCCTTTGAGCAAACCTTAAACCCTAAACCCCAAACCCCGAACCCCCCCCCCCCACAAAAAAAAAACCTGAACAAATAAATAAACCCTAAACCCAAAACCCAAAACCCTAACCTCCCCCCCCCAAAAAAAAAACTGTGCAAGCCAAGGCGCAATCCGATGGATGAGACCAGGCCTGAGTCGCGCAGGTGCTTGACCTCGGCTCGGGAAAGCCGATAATCAGGCTAGGGTTTAGGGTTTAGGGTTTAGGGTTTAGGGTTTAGGGTTTAGGGTTTAGGGTTTAGGGTTTAGGGTTTAGGGTTTAGGGTTTAGGGGTTTAGGGTTTAGGGGTATAGGGTTTAGGGTTTAGGGTTTAGGGTTTAGGGTTTAGGGTTTAGGGTTTAGGGTTTAGGGTTTAGGGTTTAGGGTTTAGGGTTTAGGGTTTAGGGTTTAGGGTTTAGGGTTTAGGGTTTAGGGTTTAGGGTTTAGGGTTTAGGGCACACTCTGGGGTTGGGCACTTCAGGGACACTCTACGGTTGGACACTCCAGGAACACTCTGGGGTTGGGAAGTGGAGGAGAAGAGTTTCGGGCGAGGAGAAGAGTTAAGTTGAAAATCTAGCAGCCCCACACCGAAGGTGGGTAAAACACAATCCTACCCGACTTGGCCCCAAACCCCAAACCCCTAAACCCTAAACCCTACACCCTAAAATCCTAAACCCCAAATTGCTTGTGTGGCATGAACACTTAACACAAACTTGGAACCGGGCTTTTAAGGTACCTTCGGGAGACGGTTGCTTGAACCCTAAACCCTAAACCCTAAACTCCTCGGATTTTTGGGGCCAGATACGTGGGATGGGAGATGTAGGGGTTTAGGGTTTTTTTGCTAGGGGGGGGGGGGGGGGGGGGGGGGTTGCCATCTTTACTTGAAGGTGCCGAAATGAACTTCTCAGCAAAAAGTCGACATGCCCCACCTTCTCAGGAACTTACCTGTCTTATAGGGGCCTGAAAAATTAGAATAGGTTGAGTTTTTTTTGTTTTTTTCTCTTTGTTTTTTTTTTTTTTTTTGGGGGGGGGGGGGGGGGTAATATGGTACAAAAACAAAGGGAACATAAGGTAATGCCATCAGTAATTCTTCCGACCCCTATACTATCTTATAGGGTCCTTCAAGGAAGAGGGGTTCAAGCGGGGTAAGTAACTCAAGGTTCCCTAATACTCCCCACTACTCCCTGAGACTCTCAAACCTTCCTAAGGTTCGCTGGGTACCTACCCCCCCCCCCCCCCCCCCGCCAATGCCTTCACGTCTGGGCCGCTCTCTAAATGATGCCCTAAACCCTAAACCCTAAACCCTAAACCCTAAAACCCCAAACCCTAAAACCCTAAACCCTAAACCCTAAAACCCAAAACCCTAAACCCCAAAAGCCTCGGGGGATCCTACTATGCCGCTTTCAGCCTGATGATACTTCTTAATACCCCAACACAGACGTGGCATGGAGACGCTCCCTCGAAGAAGCCTCCGGAAAAGAGTGGTGCCCCTTTGGGGATTTCCTACTCCAAGGATAAGCGTACTTAAGCTTCTCTTAGGCAAACCCTAAACCCTAAACCCTAAACCCTAAACCCTAAACCCCAAACCCTTAACCCACCTAAGCCGGGCGGCACAATCTGCCAAGTCGTCTCTCTCAAACCTTTGAACGGCAGGGCTTCGTGTTACTTACAGGCATCCCGACCGACTCAAGGTTTAGGGTTTAGGGTTTAGGGTTTAGGGTTTAGGGTTTAGGGTTTAGGGTTTAGGGTTTAGGGTTTAGGGTTCAGGGGTTTATAGTTTTAAGGGGTTTGGGGTTGAGGGGGTGGTTTTAGGGTTGAGGTTGGGGGGGGTTTGCGGCTTAGGCTTTGGGGTGTCGACTCTCACACACTCGCCCAAGCGGGCGAAGCTCTCGGCATCGCGCCAACACAACCATCGCTGAGGGTTTAGGGTTTAGGGTTTAGGGTTTAGGGTTTAGGGTTTAGGGTTTAGGGTTTAGGGTTTAGGGTTTAGGGTTTAGGGTTTAGGGTTTAGGGTTTGACTTGAGCTTTGCAATCCGCCCGCGCTTCCTGCACCCAAAACCCAAAAAGCGCTCGGAAATCTCATGTGCCTAAAACCTTTTGAACCCAAAACCCAGGACCCACAACCCTAAACCCTTTGAAACCCAAAACCCTAAAACCTAAGCCCCTGAAGCCTAAACCTTGACCCCTAAACCCTAACCCTCAAGCCTTCTCCCTCAACCCTAAACCCAACACCCAAAACCCGGCCTAAATCCTAATGTTGAACCCGGAACCCTATAAAAACTGAAGCCTAAACCCTAAACCCTGAACCCTTTTGCAACTGGGACTTGGTGACTGAACCCTCAACCCGCAACCCTAAACCCTAAACCCAACACCAAAACCCTAAATCCTAATCCTGAACCCTAAACCCAACACCCTAAACCCAACACCAAAAATGACGAACCCTAAGCCCGAAACTGAAACCCTAGGCCATGAAGCAAAATGAATGAACCCTAACCCCTAAGCCCTAAACCCTCAACCCTAAACCCGGAACCCTGAACCCTAAGGCAAGTCACCACCCCAAGGAGATGTAGTCGCCATCGCTCTCGCCACACCCTGCGAAATCGAAGCAGAACCTAGGATGGGTTTAGGGTTGAGGGTTGAGGGTTTAGGGTTTTAGGGTTTTAGGGGTTTAGGGTTTTAGGGTTTAGGGTTTAGGCGTTTAGGGTTTTAGGGTTTTAGGGTTTCGAGCCGCTTGGTTGCGTTCACCGTCACCTGGATTCGTTTGCCCTGTGCCCTGCGCATCCCGCCCCTAGATTACCCTAAACCCTAAACCCTAAACCCAAACCCTAAACCCTAAACCCTAAGCCCTTATGGCCCCTTATTACTCCCTTAAAGAGGATCCTTGAGAAGGGTCCCCAAACCCAAGGGGACAACCTTAGAGGTCCAAGGTAGAATCCCATGATCCCTAAACCCTAAACCCGAAACCCTAAACCCTAAACCCTAAACCCTAGATTGGACAAGTCCCAAGCTAGGCCATACGGCCCAGGAACAGGGAGATGCCCAGGGGGAGGAAGAGAGGCACCAGCTGGAACGCCTCTAGCCTCCCAAGGCTTCTGGTTTAGGGTTTAGGGTTTAGGGTTTAGGGTTTAGGGTTTAGGGAGAGCCCGTCTACACCGCATAAGCCCCAAATAGCTACAAGTATAGGACGTTGTTGGCTAACCCTAAACCCTAAACCCGGAACCCTTAAGAATCTTTCGAGCTTCATGTCTAGTGATGCTCGAAATGCAGGTATCCTTCTAGGCCCCTTACTACGGTGTTCGGCAGGGAGTGCAAGGGGACTGCAAAAGCTACAACCCTTCCCAGGGGCCTGCACGAGGCATTCTGGTGCAGGTACACCACCTGGGCACGACGTAGTCTCCACACATGAGATGAAAAAAACTCGAACGCTTTCCGTCCCTGCTTCACGTCTATTTGAATACATGCCAAGATAGGGGGCCCCCTTGTTTTTGGGAACCCTAAACCCTAAACCCTATACCCGTAAACCCTAAATCTAGCGGCGGCTCAAACTCAGCTTAAACTGGATGGGCGCCGAGGATGGGAGGCCCCGACCAGGCCCTTTAAAGGCTTACCATGGGGGTTGAGGGATAGGGTTTAGGGTTTAGGGTTTACCCTTTAGGGTTTAGGGTTAGGGTTTAGGGTTTAGGGTTAGGGTTGAGGGTTGAGGGTCGAGGGTCGAGGGTCGAGGGTCGAGGGTCGAGGGTTGAGGGTTTGGGGGCCAGGGATCTTCCAATTTCGGGCTTAGGGCTTCGGGTCTCAGAGCTGCCTTGTTGGCCCTGATTTTGGAAAACCCTTGGGAGGATTTCCTGCTTTGGGTTTAGGGTTTAGGGCTTAGGGTTTAGGGTTTAGGGTGAGTCTTACGGGTGATGCCAGGCAAGCAAACCGTTCAATAGCCTCAAGTCTCTACCATGTTGTGCGATGGGAACCCAGCGGAAAATCTTCTGCCCTTAGGTACACGGCCGCAAACACAGACGTTCTTGTGCCCAGCTTGGAAACCCAAAGCTCAATAACAAAACTCACCCCTAAACTCCCCCAAGAAACCCTCAAACCGAAGACGCTGAACCGAACCGGCCCCTCCTGGGACTCTATTTTCCTACAGCTTCGTAGCAACTACCCCTTTAACTAGTAGTATAAGCCGCAAACCTGCCCCCGGCCATGCCCCATCCCTAAACCCTAAACCCTAAACCCTAAACCCTAAACCCTAAACCCTAAACCCTAAACCCTAAACCCTGAACCCTAAACCCTAAACCCTAAACCCTAAACCCGAATCATCCCTTGGGCGTCTTCCCATCCCAGCTGCGCAGGGTCTCGGCTCTGCCCGGCCAGCCGGAAGATCTGGCAGGAAGTGCGAACACCTTGCATCTTCGGAGTTTAGGGTTTGGGGTTTGGGGTTTGGGGCTTAGGGTTTAGGAAGTGCGAACACCTTGCATCTTAGGCGTCTCCACCAGGGGATTAAGTGTTGCTTCGTGTTTTTTGTTGCCTAGCAAGTTTCGGTTTCAGGGTTTAGGGTTTAGGGTTCAGGGTTTAGGGTTTAGGGTTTAGGGTTCAGGGTTTAGGGTTTAGGGTTCAGGGTTTAGGGTTTAGGGTTCAGGGTTTAGGGTTCAGGGTTTAGGGTTTAGGGTTCAGGGTTTGGGGTTTAGGGGGTGTCCTGTAGGGGGGGATTATGGGGGTACAAAGGGCGACCCGAGTTCACCTTAAGAAACCAAAGCTACCTTATTGTAGTTTCCTTAGGATCCTATAAGGGATTCAAAAGAAGAGCCTACAAAAAGAGGCTGTCTTCAGGGTTTAGCCGCCTAGAGGCCAGAAGCCCCTGAAGTGCCACTGAAATCCACTGAAACTCCAAAAGCAACCAAAGACGGGCCTTCGTCTGAGCAGCCAATCCCTGCTACCAACTTCCAGAATTTTTCGAGGACCCAAAGAAGTTCGGTAAGACTTAGATGCTTGCCTCTGGGTATTCCTCAGGAGTGGGGTCGATTTGCGCACCCCACCAACAAGTAGGGGAACCCCAAGATGTAGGTCTTGAGAGGGGCCGCTTGGGGTCACGAGGCAATGTTGTGAGCACTCACAAACCCTAAGCCCTAAGCCCTAAACCCTTGAGAATTGCAATGTCTGGCCGCCGAAAAAACCTGTGTATTTGCTGCAAAAACCTAACCCCCCCCCCCCCCCCCCCCCCCGACCCCACTTCTTGCATCCACTCTCCAGCTCTAGGTCATAGACCAGTCACCGGGATTCACCGGGTCCCTTTTTTTATTGGGGGGGGGGGGGGGGGTTCGGGTAAGCATGTACTGCTTTAGCAAAGCCGGCCCTCCCTTCAACAAAACTACCCATCGTTGAGCCTGCGAGACCGAGACCACTCAAAAACAAAAACTTGGCCCCGAAAGGCTTGACTGAGATGGCCCTTAGAAGCCCCTGAAGACATTCAGGAATGATCCTCTTAAACACATTACAGGTTTAGGGTTTAGGGGTTTGGGGTTTGGGGTTTAGGGGTGGAAAGTATGAAAGATGCGCACGAGGCCTCAATTTCATCCCGCGGGAGCTCACTAAGTCGATATCCTCGCGACGTCAACGTTGGGGGACTTCTGGGTTAGGGTTTAGGGCTTCTAGGCGAATCTAGGCAAACCCTGAACCCTAAGCCCTAAACTCTAGACGGTTTAGGGGGCGTCTTGGGGGTTCAAGGCTCGAGGCTTTCAGGTTTGGGCAGGGATGGCGAGATACATGTCATGTTCTCACTTCCGCACCATTGCCGGGGCGCTATTCACTATTTTTAAAGCTGATCATTTTTGTTCCTTGTTGGGTTTAAGTCTTCGTAACAATGTAGCATGATTTTTCAACAATGACCCAGACTTTGGTACAAGAAAAGTAACTCTGCGTCCAGGCAGATGTGGGTCCCAGCTCATCGGCCCTGAAGGAGGAGACGCGGAAGCCCCACAAACTTGAACACGCTTCCGCTCTCCCACCAGCCTACCGTACTACCCTGTGGGACAACATACCGTGCAAGTCGGATAATTCCTAGGTTCATTAGTTAGTCCATAGTTGGACACCTATATAGGGTGATTTCTCTAAATTAGGGTCTGTTTTGGGGTTTCTATTACAAGGCGGTGGCCCCTTGCATTTAGGGCGGGACCCCATAATATTGAGAGCTGACCATATAGGTTAAGGCATGGCATGTTCCTGTAGTAGAGGCCTTTATTCGGGGGCTGAGGGCTGGGTTCAGGTCAGACCCCCGTTGTAGATGCATGGACCCCCTACGCTTAGGGTCCAGGGTTTAGGGTTTATAAGGTTTAGGGTTTAGGGTTTAGGGTTGCGAGGGTCTAGGGAAACTGGACACCCCTGGCAGCGCTGTTCGCCTCGCGGCGTACGCCGCAGCTCCACAGGCGGAAGCGCTTTGGCCCCAACCGCTGCGGGTCGTATCGCCTCGGGAGTGAAAGGTTCGCTGGGGACCAAATGAACCCTAAAATTGGGGTCATATAGTCCTCTACCCTATACTACCATAATTCCTACTATAGTATATGAGCCCTAAACCGTAAACCCCAAGGTCTTGTTCCTCCCGCACAAGGGTTTAGGGTGTCGGGCTTACGTAATTTCAGGTACTCTCTTTACCTACCGTTTTCTGGGTATTGCCTACTAATGAAGAGGTAGTTGCTACTAAACTGCATGTAAATAGGGTCCCAGGTGGAGTTGAGGTAAATTCAGGTTGGGGGTTTAAAGCATGTCGGCTTTACAGCCCACTGTTTGCACGGCAAGAGCCCACGTCACTTGAAGGACCTTCTAGGGCCAAAACACCACGCTGTTCATTCCTTGCTCTTTTTTTGGGAGGGAGGGGGGGGGGGGGGGGGGGGGAGGAGGGGAGGGGGGGAGGAGGGGAGGGGGGGAGCGGGGCGAGGGGGAGAGGAGGCAGGGGGGGCGGGGGAGGGTTTGCGAAGAACTGTCTGTACTTGGAGGTTCATGGTACTTGTTAATCCAATAACAACTGTTACAATATAACCATATTAGGGCACTTGAGGGGCTTATAAGTGGGTCATGAGTAAAGTTAGTATTGGGTTAATAAGTACCCTGAACCTCCCTAAACCCTTTTGAACCTGGAAGCTGCTAACCGTTGCAAACCCTAAACCCTAAACCCTAAACCCTAAGCCCTAAGCCCTAAACCCTAAACCCTAAACCCTAAACCGGCTTCAAGCCGAACAGTTCCGCAAGCAAGCGCGGCCTGCGGGGCGGGCGGATGATGAGATTCCACAACGCCAGGGCGTAGGGCTGCCTTGGACGGAGGACGAGGAGGGCTTCGGGTGCTATGACTAAACTGTAGGGAAATAGGGTCCCAGCTAGGGTTCAAGGTTCAGGGCTTTGCTTTCTTCTTCGACCATTCTAAGGTGTTCAAGAATCCAAGCCCAGCGCGGGAACCGTTGACACCCAAAAAACTTGACCACTTCGCCCACCTAACTCCCTCCCTGACCCTAAGCCCTACCTGGGACTCTATTTACTTACAGATTAGTAGCAACTACCCCTTAATTCGTAGGTAAAGCCCATCAAGTTGTAGGTAAAGAGGGTCCCAGGTAAACCCTAAACCCTAAACCCCCCCCTAAAATTCGTAGGTATAATGCCATAAAAACTGTAGGTAATGGTACACCCTGAACCCTAAACCTTAAACCCGAAACCCTAAATCCTAAACCCTGAACCCTAAACCCTAAACCCTGAACCCTGAACCCTAAACCCTACGCCCTGAAGCTTACACATCGGGGCTGTGCACGCCTGAGCATCCCGCGAGTCTTCCCTGAACCCTGAACCCCAAACCCTAAAAGGGTTAGGGTTTAGGGTTTAGGGTTTAGGGTTTAGGGTTTAGGGTTTAGGGTTTAGGGTTTAGGGTTTAGGGTTTAGGGTTTAGGGCTAGGGTTTAGGGTTTAGGGTTTGGGGTTAAGGGTTTAGGGTTTGGGGTTTGGGGTTTGGAGTTTAGGGTTTAGGGCCCTAAACCCCAAAACCCGAAACCCTTCTCCAGCAAGGACCCGAAACCCAAAAACCCTGAAACCTAAATCAGCAGCCTGGCTACCCCGGCATCTCCAGACAATCAGTTTCCTCCGCCATTCCAGGTAGCTGTGGCGGGACCTTAGGGTTTAGGGCTTAGGGTTTTTGAAGGGTTTGTTTGAGGTTTTACCGATGTCTAGGGTGTCGTTCTCGTAGGGTTTTGGGGCCTTTAGGGTTTGTACGGTTTCGGGGACCCTGCAAAAGGAACACGGGCAGGGCTTAGGGTTGAGGGTAGTCTTGGGCAGTTTGAATTATATGTTTACAGGAACTTCCTGGCACTCTCTTTACCTACCATTGTATGGGATATACCTACTAGTTACTTAGTTAAGGGGTAGCTCCTACCAAGTAAATTATATAATTGTGTCCGAGGTAGACCTTAAACCAAATACACCCTAAACCCTAAACCCTAAACCCCTAAACCCCAAACCCCAAACCCTAAACCTTAAACCCTAAGTCAGAGCTAAGGGGATGAGATTGGCAACTGCTCTTCGGAAATTTCGCGGCGACCTCGGGCCTGCGCGGAGTACCAAGTTTCGGGTTTAGGGTTTAGGTCCTAAGTTTAGGTTTTAGGGTTTAGGGTTCAGGGTTCAGGGTTTAGGGTTTAGGGTTTAGGGTTTAGGGTTTAGGGTTTAGGGTTTAGGGCTTAGGGTTTAGGGGGCTTATTAAATAAGGGGATCCGAAGTATGGGCCCTTGATTTGGGTCCCCTGTTACACGATACAGGGCTCATACTTCGGATCCCTTGAAGTCCCTGTAAACAAGGGTAAGCACGGTTCCAAGCTTAGATACAGGGGTTTAGGGTTTATGCCATTAGAAAGGGTATTCTGGGGTGGCGTGTATGATATTCAGAGAGTAGAAGGTCCTGGTAAAACCCTTTTTTGAACCCAGGCACTGAGTGCCAGCTCAGACCACCGAAGCGTATGTCTAGAGGATCAACTTAACAAGCCAGTTATCGCCGCAGCTAGGGGGCTTCTAAGCGGGTTATCACTGCAAGGTTAGGGCTTAGGGTTTAGGGCCTAGGGTGGTATGGGGTGAAAACCCCAGTATAGCGCATGTTGCGCTTTGTCAGAGGGTCCACAGAGGAGTCTAGTCGGGTGGGCCTGTGACAACAAAGCCAAAACAAACACTCCCTAGGTAGCCCGCTTGCTATTCTTACCTAGACCCCTGCGAGGATCCGAAAAGTAGTTCCTAAGAATGATCCTATAGTATCACAGGAGTACTATTTGGGGTGTTCTACCTTTTTCAAATCCTCCCAGGGTCCGGGCAGCTTCTTTGGCAGCTGAGGCCGCGGCGCAGCCGGCCCTGAGGCACCCTGCTACCCGGTTCTACCCCTCCCCCCCCTCCATCCAGAGCCACTCTGAAAGCGGGCAGCGGTTTAGGGTTAGGGTTTAGGGTTTAGGGTTTAGGGTTTAGGGTTTAGGGTTTAGGGTTTAGGGTTTAGGGTTTAGGGTTTAGGGTTTAGGGTTTAGGGTATGTAGGGTGCCCACAACCACCACGGCCCCCTGCACCGAGTTGCAGATGGCTGCCAATGGCTGCTAGCTTTCTACCTAAACCCTAAACCCTAAACCCCAAACCCTAAAACGCTTCTTTGCCCGGTCGTCGGGGGTCTTTAGCCGGTCGTCGGGGGGACGCCCTAAAGGCGAAGGCGGCGCAGGGGACTGAAACGTGGGTTCTTGGCACAGGCATACATACGTGCATACATGCGCACACGTAGTTGGCTTTGAACCCCACCCCCCCCCCCACCCCTGCCCGGTTTGTGGCCCCCGTCCCTGCCCCCCTGCCCCGCCGCAGGCCCCAGCACAGTACCGGGTGTCATGTAAAGAGGAAATAGAATGTCCGCCAAACCCGAAACCTAAAGCCTTCATGACTGGTTTAACCCACCTAGGTTTAAGCAACTATTTCCAACTCTAAACTGCAAAAGCCCTAAACCCGTCATATTCCTGCCTAAACCCTACAAACACCCAAACCCTACCTGGGAATATATTTTCCCTACAGTTTAGTAGTAACTACCCCTCAATGAGTAGGCATAACCCATAAAACGGTAGGTAAAGAGAGTCCCAGGTGGCCCTAAACCCTAGCCCTAAACCCCAAACCAGATGCCAGACCTTGCGGGGCTCCCTGGTGACCTCCTTGCCGGCCTGGGCCTCACTGAGGGTCGAGGGGTGGTCTTAGGGGTTTAGGGAGGAAAATCCGGGGTTTAGGGTTTGGGGTTTAGGGTTTAAAATTTCGGGTTTAGGGTTTAGGGATTGGGGTTTAGGGACCCTCTTTACCTACTGTTTTATGGGTTATACCCCTAAGAGGGGATACCGCTAATCTGCAGGTAAATAGAGTCAAGGGTAGGGTTTAGGGTTTAGGGTTTAGGGTTTAGGGTTTAGGGTTTAGGGTTTAGGGTTTAGGGTTTAGGGTTTAGGATTTAGGGTTTAGGGTTTAGGGTTCAAGAGTGTAGGGTTTAGGGTTTAGGGTTTAGGGTTCTTGCTTGGGTCGCCTGTGGGATTTGAGGCCGGGTTGGAGCTCCCACCTCGGACACCCACTGCTTGCAAGACTCTCAACCGGTAGCTTAGGTGTAGGGGGTTTAGGGTTTAGGGTTTAGGGTTTAGGGTTTAGGGTTTAGGGTTTAGGGTTTAGGGTTTAGGGTTTAGGGTTAGGGCTGGCATCAACTCCACTGGTCTTTAGCTTTGGAACACGCATGCCGAACTGGCACGAGTCAATGACAATATCGAGGCCCCATCTGGGACGGTGCGTTGCAGGCACTCGCAAGTGTTCACAAAAGGCTCAATGACTACCTCATCTAGTGGTAACTGGGTAAAGCGAGTCCCAGGTATATCTTTCAACCATACCCAAAAACACTTCTGGCCAGGGTTCGAAACTACTCCCAGTGGGTGCCCAGAGGAGGGTCATGGGTTTGAGGTTTCAGATCCTGCGTTTTGTGGCTTCTCTACAATGGTATTTTGAACCCTAAACCCTAAACCTGAACCCTAAACCCTAAACCCTAAATCCTAAAAGCCCTAAAAGCCCTAAAACTCTCAGGGTTCGGATGCCCAGCACCAGATGGTTCCCTCGACGACACTGCACCTCAAACGACTGGCTGTAGCTTTCTCCTAGGTTGGCCCTTTTACAGCTTCTGGATAACAATCCCGAACTAGGGTTTAGGGTTTAGGGTTTAGGGTTTAGGGTTTAGGGTAAGGGAGCATATGGGGGCTTACGAAATTCGGGGTACCTTATTGAGGGGTCCGCGTTCTAAGGGAATCTTACTATTTTGGGGGTCCCATTTTTAGGGGTCCACTATTTTTGTAAACCCCCATATAAACATGTCCCCAGGCCAACCTAGCTTCAAAGACTTGTGGTCCAGCTTGGACCCGCTCAAAATCGTGTCCAAACGTCCAATCTGCGCATGAGACTGGCTCTCGATTAGGGCCGATGCGATCCTCGTCTTCTAACCTCCACAATACAAGTACAAGTCGAACTTAACACCCCCAAGATGAGAAATCTACACTGCAAGCAACTGTAGGGCTCCCTAAACCCTGAACCCGAAACTCTAAACTGGCCCTAAACCCTAAGCCCTAAGCCCTAAACCCTAAACCCCAAACCCTAAACCCTAAACCCTAAACCCTACCGCGTCCTCAGAGCTTGGCGGCACCCTGCTGGGGCGCAGCCTCCGCGAACATCTTCGCCATCTGCGCCAGCTTCGTCGACTGCTTCACACCGAGGTCCAGCATGATCTCCTCAGAGCCTGGTTTAGGACAAGTTGGGGTGCTTAGGGTTTAGGGTTTAGGGTTTAGGGTTTAGGGTTTAGGGCAATTGGGGTTGATGATTTCGGGTTTGGGGGGGTGGGGGGGGGGCAAGCTTCGGAGGTCTGGTTTCAGGGTTTTGGGCGTCGGGTCCGAAGAGGGCAAGCTGTGTGCATCCACCGCAAAATCTGGCAGCTCCACAACTAAGCCCGCAACCGCCGGGAATTGCCATCGCACGCACTTCGCGGTTCAGTCGCTCGACCTTCTCTCCCTGTCCTCCCCGCGAGTAGGACAAGCCGCCGAAGATCTGAGCAGCCTCCCGTGCGCAGTATTCCATCACCTGGGCGAAGAAAGGGCGCAAACCCTTGAACCCAAGGTTTAGGGTTTAGGGTTTAGGGTTTAGGGCCCCTGAACCCCAACAGCCACGAACCAGCCAGGAGCTTCAGCACACTTACGGCAGGGATGCCTCGAACTCCCCACCCTTGGGATGTTCCCCCTGTACTACCAGTCCTTGATCGGGATTTTACTTGGGGGGAACATCCCACTCCCCAGCCCACTCCCCAGTCACCTAACACTTTGTTCAGATGCCCCCTTGGAAACACTACACTACACCCAACAAACAAAAACAAACAACAACCGAAAGCCTGCGGACCACGCCTGGGACTCTGTTTACCTACCGTTTCGTAGTAACCGACCCCTTCATTGGCAGGTAGAACCCATCAAAACTGTAGGTAAAGAGAGCCCAAGTAGACCCTAAGCCCTAAACCCTAAACCCTGAACCCTAAACCCTAAACCCTAAACCCTCAACCCTCAACCCTCAACCTTGAGGACCCGGGATTGGGGGGGGGGGGGGGGGGGGGGGGGGCGAGCCGCCTTGGTACACTGCACCTTGCACAGCGCGGTGTGCCCTCCCAGCTTGAGCATCGCCTCCAGCTTGGGCATGGTCTTCCTTTGCTGAGACGTCCTAAACCCTAAACCCTAAACCCTAAACCCTAAACCAACGAGGAGAGCAACCCAAAGATCTCAAAATCCTAGGAGGGTTTAGGGTTTAGGGTTAGCAAAGATTGGCCAATTTCTTTGCGAGGTTTCAGCTGGTAGGTGATCCACTCCAGCCAGTTGTGGGTCGCTTCGATCTGCCGGGCCATTTCCGCCACCTTCCAGCGAATCACCGGATGCTGGATAAGGGTCTTCCCGAAGGTCTTGCGCTTGCCGGCAAACTTCAGGGAATCCTCCAAGCCTCCGCCCGCCCAGCCCCAAGAAACAACGAGGAGGAGGAGGAGGAGGAGGAGGAGCAGGAGTAGGAGTCGGAGTAGAGGTAGGAGGAGGAGGAGCAGTAGTAGTAGTAGTAGTAGTAGTAGTAGTAGTAGTAGTAGTAGTAGTAGTAGTAGTAGTAGTAGTAGTAGTAGTAGTAGTAGTAGTAGTAGTAGTAGTAGTAGTAGTAGTAGTAGTAGTAGTAGTAGTAGTAGTAGTAGTAGTAGTAGTAGTAGTAGTAGTAGTAGTAGTAGTAGTAGTAGTAGTAGTAGTAGTAGTAGTAGTAGTAGTAGTAGTAGTAGTAGTAGTAGTAGTAGTAGTAGTAGTAGTAGTAGTAGTAGTAGTAGTAGTAGTAGTAGTAGTAGTAGTAGTAGTAGTAGTAGTAGTAGTAGTAGTAGTAGTAGTAGTAGTAATGATTACTCAGCATTCGAACTGAAGCATCATGCCTGAGGGCAAAGGGCCGTCCCCAACTGCCTTTGAAGGCCGTACTGTCAGCTCTTCAAGAATGCTCTTGTGGCGTCACAACCCTCAACCCTCAACCCTCAACCCTCAACCCTCAACCCTCAACCCTAAACCCTAAGACTAGATGTACCAGAAGCAAGGCCTGAGTCGGAGGAGGCCGGGACGACATGCAAGCCCAAGGGGCAGGGGCGTGCAGACCCATGTGCCAGGCTGCTCAAGGGGGTTTAGGGTTTAGGGTTTAGGGTTTTTTTTTGCCACCCGACTGGCCAAAGCAATGCGGGGTAGAAAGTAGGGTTTAGGGTTTAGGGTTTAGGGTTTAGGGTGCCTGGGCAGCCTCACGGTCCGGCGACAGGCGTGGCGCGCGGACGCAGAGGGTCAGACGGCAACACGTCTTGGTTGTAGGCAGCCGTAGGCGGTGCCGGGCCCAGCACCCGACTACCTGCCTCTCCTAGCAACCAAGCCAGGTTTTGACGCGCGCAGCAATGCAAAGCGGCCTCGCCAATAGGCACCCTTTGCCTCAAATGGAGGCTCCCGAAAAAGGAGACATGGAGAACGTTCGCGAAGAGCTTAGGATGACCCTGAAACGCTTGCCGGGCAGCAGCCCAGCGGGCCAGGGCCAGCAGCGATGCGGCGGTAACCGGCTGCACTCGTTCGCGAACGAGCACACACACACAAACACAGAAACGCACAGAGAAACACAGAGACACACAGAGAACACACAGAGAAACACAGAAAAACACAGAAACACACAGAAACACACAGAAGCACACAGAAACGCACAGAAAACAAACAGAAACGCACAGAAACGCACAGAAAAACACACACTCTCTCTCTCTCTCTCTCTCTCTCTCTCTCTCTCTCTCTGTGTCAAGGAAAGCAGGGCGGCCAGAAGCGTGAGGTGCAGAGTAAAGAAGAAGAGCTGCGAGCCTTCGTTTAAGAAAACCGTCCTAGTGAAATAAGACAAATAAGACTCCAATAAGACCAGTAACAATAATAATAGTAATAATCATGAAACTAATCATCATAAGACGAATAATAATAATAATAATAATAATAATAATAATAATAATAACAATAGTACTAATACTAATGACAATAACAATAATAAGAATCATCATCATCATCATAGTAAGTAGCAGCAGTAACAACAGGTTGCCCATGTTTCGGCTTACTGGAGCGGATGGCAAAAGGGAAACCTAACCATAAGGGACCGAACCATAAGGGACCTAACCATAAGGAGGGACCTAACCATAAGGGACCTAACCATACGGGAACAAGGGCACCACTGGGACAGCCCAGAAGCACACCCGGGCGAAGCGGGTGCTCATGGCACAGAAGGCGAAGCGCTCGTGGTTGAAGTTCCTTAGTTGTCCAGTACCTAGGGGAACTAAAGGTTTAACCTTTGGGACTAGAAAGGAAAAAGATTACCTCAAAAAGGTTGCATACTCTACTACGAAGGTTCTGCATCATGTACTGGAAGCCTTTGCCCTCCTTGCCCAACAGGTTGCCTTTGGGCACCTGGGCGTCCCCGCACACCCTTCTAGCCCCAGATCCATATCTAACACCCCTGCAGTCACGTAAGCAAGTTGCTGAGTACCCCGGACCAAAAAAGGTTCACCTTTCCACTATGGTATCCTTATACATACAGCCCAAAAGATTAAAGGTTGCCTGCTCAGCTGCTATATATACAGCCCCAAAAAAGGTTATAAAGCTTACCTACTCAGCTACTAAGTATGAGGAAAGTCGGATACTGCGCAGGCATGCTCCAGCCTTGCCTTGACGTCGTCGAAGGTGATGTAGGTGGTGCCGGAAGACCATGCGCCGGAGCACCTTGGTAGCCCAGTAGCCATACTCAAAAATAAGGGCACCCTTTTTGGGTTGGCTATTTTATAAGGGAGCCCGTAACCAAAAAAGGGTAAAAAAAGGGCACCCTTTTTGGGTTGGCTATGTTTATAAGGGAGCCCATAACCCAAAAAGGGGTGAAGGGTACAACTAGGGGATAGGATTAGGGGGTCCCTTGGGGATATAGACCCTCTGAATAAGGTCCCTTGTTAAGAGAGCCAGAAGAGGGTTAAGAAGGGGTTCCTTTTTAAGGGTCCCCCTTATCCCACCTAGGAACAACTGGGCTGCCAAGGCACTTCATCTTCCGAGTCTCCACCCCGGGCATGTCCTTCTCGACGAGCAGCAAGCCTAGATTCAGGAGTAACCTAGGAATAAAAAACGGTTTAGGGTTTAGGGTTTAGGGTTTAGGGTTAGGGTTTAGGGTTTAGGGTTTAGGGTTTAGGGTTTAGGGTTTAGGGTTTAGGGTTTAGGGTTTAGGGTTAGGTTTAGGGTTTAGGGTTTAGGGTTTAGGGTTTAGGGTTTAGGGTTTAGGGTTTAGGGTTTAGGGTTTAGGGTTTAGGGTTTAGGGTTTAGGGTTTAGGGTCCTAAACCCTTTTTGTCTTAGAGGGGGCTTAGAAGAGAACCCCCAAACCCTAAAAGCAAGGAAATCAGGGCCTACTCTGGGTCCTATAGTTCCCCTAAACCCTAAAAAAACCCTAAAAAAACCCAAAAAAAACCTTAAAAAAACCCTAAAACAATCCTAAAGACCCTAAAAACCCTAAAAACCCTAAAAACCCTAAAAACCCAAAAAAAACCCTAAACACCCTAAAACAGAAGGTCCCAGAAGCTGATCCCGCCCACACCCGGCTTTCCGGTGCGGCAGGCCACCGTGAAGAAGTCGGCGAAGATGCCGTTCGTGATCCACCTCTTTGGGTTTAGGGTTTAGGGTTTAGGGTTTAGGGTTTAGGGTTTAGGGTTTAGGGCCCCAGAAAATTTCGTATCACAAGCAGGAAAGAGAGACAAGGTCACCATAAAAACCTTGGACTTTTCCACGGGTCCACTTCTTCTCCCCATTCAGGATGTAGAAGTCGCCCTCCAACTTGGCACTGCACCTTGGCAGCCCAGTCGTTGGGGTTTGTTTCAAAATTTGTAAAGGAGACCCAGAACCCAAAAAGGGCAGGGCACCCACTCAGTTAGCAAGTAGACCTAAACCCTAAACCCTAAACCCTAAACCCTAAACCCTAAACCCTAAACCCTAAACCCTAAACCCTAAACCCTAAACCCTAAACCTAAACCATAAACCCTAAACCCTAAACCCTAAACCCTAAACCCTAAACCCTAAACCCTAAACCCTAAACCCTAAACCCTAAACCCTAAACCCTAAACCCTAAACCCTAAACCCTAAACCCTAAACCCTAAACCCAGCCACCAAGGCACTTCAAGTTGGCCACGTCACTGCCCGCCGTGGGTTCGGTGATGGCGAGGCAGCACACCTTCTCGCCCTTCCTTGGGGGGCCAAGCACCCGGAAGGGTTTAGGGTTTAGGGTTTAGGGTTTAGGGTTTAGGGTTTAGGGTTTCGGGTTTGGGGTTTAGGGCTGAGGGTCTTTGGGGTGGTTTTGTGGCTTATGTACCCTCATATGCATTAGAGTAGCACAGGGTATGCGACCCCAATGCTAGGGTGCATACGACCTTTCATAGGAATAAAAGTATAGAATATAGGAATGATATAGTAGTACAGGAGGGTATATGACTTGGGATGTCCCCCCTTATACTAGCAGTCCTCAATAGGGATTATGGTTCCGAGTACTTCCGATTAGAATCCCTATTGAGGGCTGGTAGTATAAAGGGAAACATGCCCTCAGCCCTGAACCCTAAAATACTAAACCCTAAACCCTAAACGCCAAGATCTCAATCCCCCCAAACCCTAAACCCTAAACCCTAAACCCTAAACCCTAAACCCTAAACCCTAAACCCTAAAACCTACACCCAAGGTTCACGCACGGAGGCATCACGCGATCCTTGAGCTCCTCGCTGCCGTGGTGGTACCTGCACCATTCTTGGGGTGCTATGTAAACGAGGATGGCCCTTAAACCCCTCTGAAAAATATTCCTGAGTATGATCCTCTTAAACCCACTAAGGGAAATTATAAAATGTTCCAAGAGCCTACCTAGTAAAGTGTTTTTTGTTCCTTGTTGGGCTTAAGTAACCCTGAAACCCTAAAACTCCCTAAACCCTTAAAACCCTAACCCTAAATCCCTAAAACCCTAAAACCCTGAACCCTAAAACCCCAAAACCCTAAACCCCAAACCGCAAGATGATTTTCAACAATATGGCCCAGGTACACCGGTGGCAGGCCAATGGTGGTGCCTCCCGCGACGCCCCACTGGAAGCCGACGGAGCCCGTGCGCGACATCTCGTCGTACCTTCGTGGGTTTAGGGTTTTTAGGGGTTTTTAGGGTTTTTAGGGTTTTTGAGGGTTTTCAGGGGTTTTTAGGGTTTTTAGGGTTTTTGGGGTTTTAGGGTTTTTGGGGTTTATAGGGTTTAGGGTTGACAGGGTATAGGGTTTAGGGTTTTTAAGATTTAGGGTCTGGGGTTTGGGCTTTAGGGTTTGGCTCAGAAGGGGTCTCCTCACTGCCTCCGGGCTGCATGATCAGCTCATGGAAATAATCCGGCTCGAAGCCCCAGGGGGCCTGACATTCTTGACTCCAGAAGTCTCCCTATCTGAGGCCAGCATGCACGCACGCAACACGCACCACGCACCACACGTGGAACCCACCGAGCACAACCACAACATACACACACACACACACAAAGTTGAAAATAGACCCTAAACTTAAACCTGAACCCTAAACCCTAAGCCCTATCCCTAAACCCTAACCCCTCGGGCCTTGCCAAAGTACTTCTCCGGCCAGGGCCTTCCAATGCACAGGGCCAGGGTGCCCTGCTTGCCAGCCTCCAAGTACCTTAGAGTTCAACGCGCACTCTGAGGGGTTAGGGTTTAAGGTTCAGGGTTCAGGGTTCAGGGTTTAGGGCTTGGGGTGTAGGATTTGGGATTGAACTCTGGAATCACAACCCACATGGCGGCGCGAAGAGACACAAAGGGTCGCATAAGCCAGCAAGCTGCAAAGACAAGAACAAGACCAACCACTGCTTCTGAGGGCGGTGCGGAACAAAACAACCACTTCGTATGAGGCAGTCACAAAAGTGAAAGATCGCATCAAGCAATGGGATATAGAGACAAGCACACTCAAAGGTTCTCCGATGACGGAGTACGATGCCCGTTTTGCGAATACTCTATGAAGGCTCCCTTCCCTGACTCACCATATCTTCGGCAGCCAAGATCACGCTGCGTCCGGCGCTTCACATATCCCGGGGCTGCTTCGAAAACCCCAAGCGAGCCAGAGCCGATGAGCTTGACCGACCCAAGTGGAGGCCCAGGAAATCAAGGAGCGGGTTCAGGGCTTTAGGGTTTTTCGGAACTCGCAGTGTGTTCGCCCAGTGCCCGCCGAAGTGCATCTCTTTGGGGATCACGCCCTTCTCGTCCTTGGCTGTCAATTGCGCTTCTTCTCCAAGTGGAGCTTTATCCAATCCACTAGGCCACACTTTCCCATGCTCCCCCGCGCCCCCGACGAAAACCGCAACGGGAATATTCAACATTACAGGGGTGGGTAGGTAGGGGGGGTTTTAGGGTTTAGGATTAAGGGTTTAGGGTAGTCGGGACATGACAAAAAACCACCAAGCTGAACAGCTCACGCGCACGAGTGTCCCAGTCGTGCACGTTAGACATGATGTGCTCATCGACGTACTCGCGCATAATCTTTCGGAACTGCTTGTGGGTGTCGTTGTAGTACCTTGGGTACCGAATGAACCCTAAAATTGGAGTCATATATGCCCATACTGCTATAACTCCTATTTCGGTATGTGAATCCCCTAAACCCTAAACCCTAAACCCCAAACCCCAAACCCCAAACCCTGAACCCTAAACCTTTTAGGGTTCTTTTCGTCCCCAAGGTACGGCGTGTTGTATGCCTGGTACCAAGAGGGATCGCCGAAGGGATGCCCTTCGCCATACACCTCGCAGTTTAGGGTTTAGGGTTTAGGGTTTAGGGTTTAGGGTTTAGGGTTTAGGGTTTAGGGTTTAGGGTTTAGGGTTTAGGGTTTAGGGTTTAGGGTTTAGGGTTTAGGGCAAGCGTCGGCACAGATGATAAAACCCTTAGATCCAAACCGCGGGCCTCAAGGGGGTCATTGTAGGAATCAGGGCGAACGAAGGGGCCGGGAGCGAGATAGGCGGGTTCAGGGCTGCAGGGGATTTAGAGTGCTGGGATTCCAGGATTTTGGGCCGTCACAACTCTTACTGACACGAAGTTACCGATGATCATCGGAGAATGATGACTAAGTGAAGCTCCATCTGGGCCCCTTGGCACGAAGTTCACGCCTCTTTCTTTCCCAAATTTTGAAATATTCAATGTTCAAACGCCCGACAGAAATTATTTCCGGATCTTTGCGAAGAGTACCTTCACCTGCCGAGCGGGCACAAGAAAGCGTATCAACTCAAAAAAAAAAATATATATATATATACATGTGTGTATGTATTCATTTTTTGCATATATATATATACATATATATATATATACCATGTCCAAGTGAACGACGAAGGGCTTGTGGTGAGCGCTCATTCCGTTCAAGGGTGTTCGGGATCCAGGATCGAGGGTTCAGATTAAGGGTTTAATGAGGGCTGACCTGGGACTCCATATACCCATAGTTTAGGGTTAGGGTTTAGGGTTAAGGGTTTAGGGTGTAGGGTGTAGGGTTTAGGGTTTAGGGTTTAGGGTTTAGGGCTAACTACAGTACCCCCTTAGTAAGCAGAACTACAGTTTAGTAGTAACTACCCCCTTCGTTAGTTGGCAGAACCTACAGAAGCTGCAGGTAAAGAGAGTCCCAGGTATAGGGCTAGAGGAAACTGAGCCCGGGAGAAGGCCCCGCGGAGATTTACCCATAGTTTAGTAGTAACTACCCCTTAGTTAGTAGGAAACCCATAAAAACTGCAGGTAAAGAGAGTCCCAAGTACAGGGTTAGAGTGCCTCCGTGTTCATCCCTTTGAGCATGGCTGGGCTGACCATGGTGGGACAGCTCGCGCGAGGTGGCACAGCAGGGGGCGTAAGTTTGGATGCACAAATGCTTCATGGAAAGGCGGCATCCGGAACCCACTCTACTGGCCACTGGGCGAATTTTTTTCGCTAGATGCAACCCTCCTAAGCCCTTTTATTTGTGCTAAGCCCTAAACCCTAAACCTAAGACACAACAAACTTCGTGTCCAGATTCCTCGGAGGGCTGCCCTGGGAGGAACATCCCTGGCCTAGTCTGCTGTTCTTGGCAACGCCATCTCATAGACCTACTTCTCCAACAACCAATTCACAAGGGAAAAAGAAGGTTCAGGGTTTAGGGTTTAGGGTTTAGGGTTTAGGGTTGAGGGGGTCAGGTTTGATGGTTCCTACAAATAAAGGGAGCCCACGAGGTTTCAAGTTCAAGTGTTGGGCTAAGTAAGTTCAAGCCCTAAACCCTAAACCTTCTAAACCCTCCACAGCCCCGAAGTCCCAGCTCGAGGCTTGTATCGGTTCGTGGATCTACCTCCAGAACCTAAAAACTTGTTTTCTAGGTTCCCGGAGAATCATATAAGGGGTTTTCTACTAAGAACCTGCAAAAAACAGTTGGCTTGAGGCTCTTGGCTTCCCCCTGAGACGTCGTTGAACCAGCACCCTCAAACTGAACCGCCAGCCCTTAACCCTTGGAAAAAACAGGTGAAGAATGGCACTGGCAGTAATTAACCATGATAGTAATGATCATAATCACGACACGAAAAGTATCAATAACAATAATAAGACTAAGAGCCATAATAAGAATAACAGTAATCATAACCATCATCATATTGATGAGAAATCATAGCTAATGATAGACATAATGCCTCACGCATGTTATTCCGGGAACTCCCAAGGCTGGAGCCAGCTGGTACAGGCGCTTGCCCTTCACCTGCGCTTCGGGGGTTTTTGGGCTTCGACGGGTGTGAATGGTGTCGGGCCCTCAAGGGGGCGATCCCACTCGAACTTTGCTCAAGGTGTTCGACCCGTTTTTGCATCCGGACTCCTGTGTGGGTGTTGCCGGAAACTGCCCAAGGTGTTCGACACCAATCCCGAAACCCTAAACGCCAGGGGGAACAAAAACCAGTTGAAACCCCCCGCCTTCAGCGCCGAATACATGGGCGGCACCTGACGCAAAGCAACACCCTTTTGCGGGGCGCCTCAACACGCACGGCAGGGGTTCAAGGTTTACGTTTTCTGCCTAACGGGCGAGCGCAGTCCTCTCCTAACCAAGCATGAAAGCAAAATGAGGCAAGCGTCCCCAAGCCGTGCTGTGCCATCATTCTGCACTGTGTCCGTGGGTTTTCAGAGACTCCAATACCCCTTAATTAAGGAATATTACTTAAACCATATAAGGAGCCCTATTTAAGGAATATTCCTTAATTTAGGAGTATTGGAGTCCCTGGGTTGGAGATAGGAGTTGCAACTTGACTCTGTTTTGCAGCTTCCGGCCGCATGCCCAGTGTTTGGGCAAGGCGTCGCTCGCCAGCACTTGCCAGTTGCCCTCACGATCCAGCACCCTGAAAACCAAATCAACCCGACAATTGGGTCATGCACCCTACGCTACTGTAACCCCTATTTGAGTTATGAGCCCTAAACCCTTTTAATAAGGTTCATCTGACCCTAAGGTAGGTCGAAGCGACCGAACATCTCAAGTCAAGCTGCCGCTCTTGCTCTTTGAATGATGTGACTGCCAACCCAACTTGAAGGTTCATGGTACTTACTACCCAATAATAACTGTACTTATAACCCTACTTATAAGTGGGATAACCCCTATAAGGCCCTTTAGGGGTAGTATAAGTAGGGTTATAAGTACAGTTATAATTGGTTAGTAAGTACCATGAACCTCCAAGAAGGCCACGGCTGCTGAGACTAGGGTTTAGGGTTTAGGGTTTAGGGTTTAGGGTTTAGGCTGCCCTGGCCGGAAAGTCGCAGCAACCCTCACTCCTAGCACTCGCGACTACGACTGCAGGCTTTGCGGGGCCTCACAACTGAGACCCCTAAACCCTCTAACTAACTAAACCCTAAACCCTAAACCCTAAACCTGATCAACGGTTCAAGTTGGGCAACCGGCTGCCTGCAAAGTTCACAGGCGCAACGGTTTCGGCTAAAGGCGCGGTGCCGAGGTGCTCGGGGGCAGCAGAAATTTTCTGCTGCCTGGACCCTGAATTATGATAATTCCCTAAACCCTAAACCCTAAACCCTAAACCCCTAAACCCTAAATTATCGTTCCTCCCTTCTTTCTGATCCTCTATGATCCCTTAACTGAAGTTCTTGAGTTCTTAATGTTTGCTCCCTTTTTTGGTAAGGTGGGGGGGGGAGAGGTGGGGGTCAAGGCAACAGGGTTTCGTTGGGGTGGGGGGTGGAGGAGGTTGGCTCCTAAACTCTTTATTCATCTTGCATCATTAGAGCAACATAAGAACTAGGTAGTTCTTCACTGCTCCTTGAAGGCGATTTTCGCCACAGGAACCTTCAGAAGAATCGCACAGATTCACGTTCCGAGCTGCGCAGCCCCCTCCTAGTAGGGCTTAGGAACGTTTAGGGTTTAGGGTTTAGGGTTTAGGGTTCAGGGTCTAGGGTTTAGGACCACGAAGCTCTGACTCTCACGACCACCTGTGTCAGTCAAGTCTCTTGGGGCACATGCCAACTTGATCGCAAGCATTCGCATGCACTTGCGCACCAGCCACCACACGAAGCGTACAGCTGGAGACCCTAGAGGGCCCTAGCGACCCACCAGTTTTCGTACCTAGATGTTGGAAACCCTAAACGCTAAACCCTAAACCCTTCCCTAAACCATTTTTTGACCCCGCGAGCTTTTCCCTTAACCCTAAACCCTAAACGCTAAACGCTAAACCCTAAACCCTAAACCCTCAACCCTAAACGCTAAACGCTAAACCCTAAACCCTAAACCCTAAACCCTTCCCAAAACCCCAAACTCCAAACCCTAAGTCTAAAACCTTCAACCTGCCAGCTGCCAATCTGAAACTGAGCTTGCAACAGCACTCCACGCTCACGAAAAGAAACGCCTGACTGACAGCCGGGATGCCTACTTACTGGCCCAAAACCCAAGGAAATAAAAGTTGAAACTTTCAGAAGAAACTACCTTATAAGAAGCCCAAAAGTTGAAAAGTTGGGCTTTGAGCCAGTAAGCCTAAGAGGGGTGGGGGGATTGGCTTCCCGCATTTCTCCACAACAGTGCAGATGACTTTCTCCTCCCTATCTAGGGTTTAACTCTTGAAAGGATTGTATAAGGTCATTGAACTCCCAAATTAGGGTTTAACTCTTGAAAGGATTGTATAAGGTCATTGAACTCCCAAATTCATCTCCCTACCAGGAACCCGTAAGATAACCACGGCCAAAAAAAAGAACAGCAAGCGCTCGCTGGCTTGGGGTCGGCAAATTATCGGTTGCTTAGGGATTTAAGGTTCAGGGTTTAGGGTTTAGGGTTTAGGGTTTAGGGTTTAGGGTTTAGGGTTTAGGGTTTAGGGTTTAGGGTTTAGGGGATTTAAGGCTTGGGCTTCAAATCCCCCAACTGCCCTGGTGATTACGTCGTTTTGCAGTTTTCAGAGAGGAGCGGTCTTAAGATGAGGTCAGGAAGAAGTGGATTGCCCATGCGGCTCCCCCGCCCCCAATCTGAACAGGCACGTTCTTAGAAACTCCAAAGATATTCATGCTAGTGGTCTCGAAACCGAAGCTACTGAAATTAGCAGCCAAGCCCGACGCATGTTTAGTTAACTGGATATCTCCCAAAACACGGATCCCCTGACATACCCGAGGGTGTCGCATTCCAGGGCAGGAAGAAGGGGGTGGGTCAGCTTGTCAGCAGGCCTGTTCGTGGTCTGCCATACGCTTGCCGGCATCGCCAACAAAGAGGTCTTGGCCCCACAGGGGGCTCGCCTGACGCGCAGGTCTCTGCTAGTTTGGACGGTACTTTGCACCCCTCTAAACCCTAAACCCCAAACCCTAATAGTTTCTCAAATCCATTGGGGACGACACCCGGCATGCGTTCTGCGCATCTGAGGGCGAGGCGGGGTGAGCTTGCCCGGCACCTGCCGCAGAAAGTTGCTTGCTCCGACATTGCGGTTGAGGGTTTTGGGAAATCATGAGGCGTCGTTGTAGGCCTTCAGAACCCAACAACCTTCTTTTTTGCAGGTTACCTAAGAATCCTAGAAGGGGTACGATTATCGTTACCTACAAAAAATGCAGGATTTTGTTCGTTTCCTCAGTTAGATGCTCCAAGCAGCCCCGAAGAATCTGAAGAAGCAAGCAAAATGGCGGGAACTGAAACTGCCCAAGACCTGAAACCCTAAACCCGAAACCCTAAACCCTAAACCCTGAACCCCAAACCGTGGGATGTCCTAAGATGCCAGCTGCTAACGCCGAGTTCTTCTTCTCGACTCACAGGGAAGGATCTCTATCAATTGCTTTGCACTATTGTCTATACCCTGGCCTATAAAATACGACCATGGTCTTCAACGGAACCACCCAGCTACGAACTAATACTTCTTGTTCGAAACCACCCTTAGTAACCATGCATACTAGCTATGCCTAAACCCTAAACCCTAAACCCTAAACCCTAAACCCTAAACCCTAAACCCTAAACCCTAAACCCTAAACATGTCTGACAGCTGTACCAAGATCGAACCTCTAAGTTGAACTTGCCCCCGAAGCCCCGATGCAAAAGGGCCTTATGGGGTTGTTGAGGTTTAGGGTTTAGGGTTTAGGGTTTAGGGTTCAGGGTTCAGGGTTCAGGGTTTAGGTGACTTATGGGGCTCAGGGTTTAGAGGGTTCAGGGTTTATTGTTTCGACTCTCACTCGCAGGGGTTTAGGGTTCAGGGTTTGTTAGGGTTTCGGGCTTCGAGTCTAGCAACCCTTCTCCCCAAAAGAGAAACGTGCCCGGCAAGCGGAGTTCGGCAAGGAGGGCGTGTTGTTCATGAGCTGCAGAAGCTGGAACGCCCTGAAGCCGAAGAGGGTTTGGGGTTTAGAAGTTCATAAGTTTCGAGGTTTAGGGTTTCGAGCTTGGAGTGTCTTGGTCTTCCTTCGAGCTTGGGGAACTGGCAACAAGAATTTGCATATCGATCCTCACTAGATCCGACGTAGCAGGTCGAATCCATATCCAAGCATGTCAGGCATGACCACTTAAACATCAACGTGACGTCAACTCAAGTCTATACATTGTCACTTCTCTAAAATATCGTCCCTTTCCGGGTCCTTAAAATGTGCCGCCCCCTCTTATTTAGGGTACACAAAAAGGAACCCTAATTTACAGAACTGACAACATGGACATTGGTAAGGCGGGCGTGACGCTTCGTTGTTTTTGGAGGAAGAGATCGGGGGGTGTAGCCCAGCGTCTCAATCCTCAGATCGCTCATCCGACCCAGAAACCGACGAGACCCACTTGGCCGGCAACGGCCCAGATGAACTTCTAACTTGAAACCCTCAACCCTTCCCATAGCCCTCAGCACAACCCCAAACCCTAAACCCTAACAACCCCCCCCCCCCCCCCCCCGAAAAAAAAACACACACACACACACACACACAAAAACAACACCTCTTCCGGCTTTGCATCTCATCGGTGACGCTTCGCCAGGTTCCGAGCTGGCGATTGACCTGTGCCACGGTCCTTTCGGTTGGGGTTTACTATGCTCCCCTTAGAACCTTAATAACAATATATGTTTAAAATCCTCTTGGGCTTTATACAAACAAAAATAAACAACAATTCCCAAGAGGGATATAGTTTAGGGTTTGCGTTTAGGATCCTTTCGTATTGCCTCATACCCCTGGCAGGATCTGTCCTTCGCCTTAAGCTTATCTCATAGCTCGCATCAGGGTACCCCGTTGTAAGCACGGACTGAGGAGCAACACCTGAAAGCAGGGCCTTCTTGGCTTTTCAGGATACCCTGAACCCTAAACCCCAAGCCTAAACCCCAAACCCTACACCCTAAACCCTATCTTGTTTGAAGGCATATTCTAGCCGTAGTTCAGGAGGGGTCTTGGGGCTCCCTGGAAGGGTTTAGAGACCGAGGTTTCGGGTTTAGGGTCATGGAATCCCCCTGCCACCCAAACTTTGGGGTTGAGGGTTCGGCCATCCTACAAACCCTGAGCCACGATACCCACCTGAACCCCAT